CTTGTTGTGGCCAAAGTGCAGGACCCAGCACTTGGCCTTGTTGAACCTCATCCCACTGGAATCAGACCATCTCTCCAGCTTGTCCAGGTCCCTCTGAAGAGTCCTCCTGCTTTCCAGATCAATACTCCCCCCCAACTTGGTGTCATCTGCAAATTTGCTGATGGTGGACTCAATCCCCTCATCCAGATCATCAATAAATATATTAAACAGGACTCGGCCCAGCACTGATCCCTGGGATCCCACTGGTGACCGGCCACCAGTTGGATGCAGCCCCGTTCACCAGCACTCTCTGGGCCTGGACCTCCAGCCAGTTCTTAACCCAGCCCAGCCATGGGCTGCAGCTTTTTCAGGAGTATATTATGGGAGACAGTGTCAAAGGCTTTCCTGAAGTCCAGGTAGACACATCCACAGCCTTCCCCTCATCCACCAGGCAGGTCACCAGATCACAAAAGGAGATCAGGTTGGTCAGACAGGACCTGCCCTTCCTAAACCCGTGCTGGTTGGGAAATTTTAGCCAGGAAATTGCTAGTTAAATCCTTATCAAAATTCTGATTCTGAAGTCACTCTATTACCCTTCTTACATTACTTCCTTTAGGTCCACCTCACATCACAGACCTATGATTTCAAGCTCCAGTTAGAAATGTAAGTCTTGTGCAGACTTCACTGTGGAAGTCTTATTAAACAGAGCTGGTTGAAAGCTCTTTAAACAGTATATTCAAAAGAAAATAAGTTCTTTTGTGAAATTCTTTTGCATTTTTTGTGATATTCTTCCTTCCTGCTCCAAAGGGTGATCTGCAAAACTGAGATATTTTATCTAAGATTGAAAATACTTTCATTTAGATAAAATAAAAATGCCAATTCTGAGGAGCTTGCTATTCATTCTGCACCTTTATAAATGCTCAACCACCTTGTAAAACCATTCTGTTCTAAAAACTGTACTTTTTCTCACTGTTAGTGAATATAAAGAGAACAGGTTTGTCCCTTTTCCCAAGAATATTCTAAACTACTCCACACAGATTTCTAGTTCTGGATCTTGCATATGGATCCACAATTTGGAGAAAAGGTTAGAAGTTAATTTCCTGCATTTCTTACATATATATGTAAAAAAAGAGATTGAATATTTTCACTATTTTTTATCAAATATATTCTTTGAAGCTGAATTTCTGTTAACTACTTTGACTGAAAAAAATAGGGACCCTTGGAAAGATAACTGGCCTATTTGTAGACTGCGACTGTAACCTTGATAACTTTTTTTTCTGCAGGCTACTGATAGCTGTGATAGTTAAACATGTTCTGTGCTCCAGAAAATTTCTGCAACACAGATATAATTTTGGTCAAAATATTTCAGTGAAACAGTGTTCTAATAGGAAGTTACATTCTGGATAAACAAATCTCTCAAGGGAACATACTGGTTCCACTCAGTCCCAGTTTCAGCAAAAACATAAGCACATGAATCACAGGTACGAAATCTTTCTGTCTTCAGTCTACCTCCTCAAGCTTATAAGGCATGGGATTCCTGCAGTTTTCCTGCTGCCTTTATATCGTGTTCTAGACATAGTAAGATCTCTTAGTATAGAACCGTTCCACTCTCCCTCCTGCCCTCTGTAATTTGCTCACCTTTGAAATGACAGCTGCTCATTTTAGGAGTGAGGAGGAGTAGAGATACTTATAAGAAAAACTATGGCATATTTGACCCTGTTGGGAATCGTGTCCTTCCCAGCCCTCATTCCAGATATATTACTGAACTCTCTGGATGCCTTGGACTCAACTAAAGGGTTGCAGTTTTACCCTGAAAGTTCAACAGCCCAGCCTCTGGACTCCTCCAAGTGGAAACTGGGAGAGGTTGTTCTACAATGACAGAGTAAATTGGAGATCTGTGGAACCTTCAACATCAGTATTTATGGAGTTTCCAAGTTCCCTGGGATATAACAAAGAGACCAATGTATAATACTGCTCACCTTTTGCTGTTGCTGTGGTAGATTTCTGGGGTAAATTATTAAGCATGCAAGGTTTGTGCCATATTGAAAGTAATTTTGGATTACAGTTGTTACAGGGATGTTATTTGAGGTAACATACAAATTGCCAATAAGGTCAGTGAGGTGTCTATACAGACAATACACTCTCTCTCCGAGGCCTCTTACTGCTCTTGTCCTGAAACCCTCAGTAAGGAAATGTTTTGGCAGTGAATGATGTCAGGGAAAAAAATTAGCGTCACTTGTAAAAGACTGGGATGAATAACAGAATTGGTTCAATAAATCCCTAACAGAGGTGTGTGAATTGGATTTTCTAGAGTTAATAAGATACAAACTATGATTAAAACTTATTCTCGACATGTAGAATTTTTTTAAGACTTTCCTTTACATAATAAAGACTGTGAGCTCATACTAGAGCCTTTCTGTACAGCTGAATAGGAATAGGATTTCTATCTTCTACTCTGCTGCCAATTTTCATTAAACTTTAAGGAATGTGGCATCTGAGTCTTTCACCTTCTCCTTCATTTTTGGTTTAAACAGTTCAAAATGGTCAAAATTATGTAAGGAAGGACTTAGAAAACAGAAATAAATCTTGTGCTCTTTCATTAACCTGATCTTGAAGCTCACCAGTGGTCCTTGCATCATATTTCAAGAGCTAACAAGTCTTAAAACACTTAAAATCTTAAAAAAAAACCCCAAACAACCCCCAAAAAATACTATTTTGCAGCTAAATCTGACACAATCTAACACAGCTAGTACTTAACAGATAATGTTGTTTCGTAAACTTCTTCTTCTCTTATTAATGTCATCTTTTGCAGAATTCTAGAGTATTTGCAAGAGAGAAAACATTCTGCAGAGTAAAAAGAATTCAGCAAAACCTGCCGCATAATAAAAGTGCCTCTGGGGAGGGTAAAATAAGAATGCCTAATTGTATTTGAACATGCAGATGTATTTTTGCATAAAACTCTGCTGCCTTTTAATGCTTGTCATAAAAAAATATACAGGCATTTGGACACATGGTGATAGCAGGAAATAACCTGAATGGAAAAAAAATTAGGCCTGATATTATTTGCTTTGAGTGAACCTTAGCCAAAAGGTTTTTCTGAGCCTAATCATGAAAAAGGATTTTTTAAAGACTTACAGGTTGTTAATTCTAAGACAATCCAGAGACAGTAATTTTTATTAACAGAATATGTACAAGAATCTGTATAAACTTCCATGTTAAAGAAACAGAGAAAAAAGTATTCATATATATGTTTTCCAGAATGAACTGCTGTATGTCCTTTTTGTACTCCTATGTCTAATATGGGCCTGAGCTGGCTGGGTGCTGAATGCTAGGCTGGGTGAAAATCTACCTGAATGGTGACTCCTCATATGTATCAGCAGTTTAGGAAGAACGATCTCTGTTTGAAGAGATTTTAGTTGTATTTTATGTGAAAATGTATAGCAGACGGATAGTTTAAATAATGCTCAGTGTGTCTGCACTCCACTCATCTTTACAATATGTTAAATTCAAACAGTCTTAGTTTACTAAATCAGGCTTCCCTGTATTTCACTAATGAGTACCTGGTTTAAACTCCTGGAGAGAGATTAATGCTTAGTGTATTGCTACTAATAGTGTTACATTAGCTGTGAATTCAGCTTTACTTTCCAGCAGCAGTATATAAAGATGATTATTTCTGCATATCTTCACTGTGTGCTCAGACTCATGTCCTTTTATTTGAGTACTACGCTTTCCTGGCTTTTCACACTCTATAGCATCACGGAGTCAACAAAGCAGTGAAATAAACAAGCCATGTACTAAGACATCTGTTATGCTGGATGCACTCAGGTTTGATCGCACCTAGTCCTATAGATGAGACTTTTACCTAGTTGTTATCTCTGTGTGCTGCTGTATGCACAAGATTGCAAACTGAGATCAGAATTGGACCTGAGCAATCATTTTTCATAATTACATGGGTTTTTTTCTGCAGGAAGGTAAGACAATGCTGTCAAGAGACAGAAACTGGTAACAGATCTGGGTTCATAATTAAAGATGACTGATGTGACTCTTTCAAATGAATTATGAGCTGTCATTTATTACTGTTAAAGAAGGAAGTTAAGAGAAATCCTCACCTTGTTCCGCTATCTTAATTTTTAATAATAAATGTGATGTTCTCTGAGGTGACAGTACTGAATGTCACATAAGCAACTAGAAGGAACCAGCATTAAGTACTTTGGTTGAAAATGGATAGGTAGGTACCTGGATTAAAAACCAGAAAATTTTAAGAGTTACCATAGAACAAAAGCAATCCTTCAGCTCCAGTGCCACTTCTCAGGGCAGAACTATGCTGAAGTGAGCTTTGTACACAGCTTTGGTAGAGGTCTCTTAAAAGGTATTTGTCAGCCAGCTATTATCAGTGATATCTATCTTCTATTTATTTGATATTCTCCATTTAAGTTCACAGTTGTTTGTTCTTCTTCCAAGTATTCTCCTTCTGACTTGAATGATGTTTCCCAAGTAGCAACCTTCAATATTGAGTCCTGCGTCATGCCCAAGTTGTGGGTTGTTTTTCTTTCTCACGTTCTCAGCACCGAACCAAAGGTCAGGAAGAGGCGATCCCAAAGGTTTTCAGCCAAAACGTTATTTACTGACCTAAAGAACACCCAAGACACCCACAGATCCCGCATGGCAACAGACGGCTGAACACCTTTCCTTTGGGAGTGCTAGTTGGAAAAACTACCACATTTTACAAAACCGGGGGCAAGTAATACTCTAGAGTGAAGAGGCTGAGGGCTGCGATAAGCTTTGCCACAGCTAGGTTTAATGTCTTTCAATTCAATCACAATAACTGAAGACCGAATAATACCAAGCGCCACTTTCCAAGCGACGGCCATTCACACTTTAACAGCCTAATGGGGGGGGGGGGGGGGGGGGGGGGAAGGGAATTTCCTTCCGTGTAGGAGGCGATTCCGGCTGTAGGTGACCCCGCGCACGCCCCGCCTCCCCCGTCTCCCCCCAAGTCGAGGGAGACTTCCCATACCCCCCGACCTGTCGCCTTCAGGCTGTGTCGGCGACACGGGCGGTGTCGCGGCCATGTCGCGACACAGGAGGGTGCCGCGGCGACAGCTCGGCGGGGCCGCGGGGGGCTCGGCTGCGGCGGCGGGCGCGGTGCGGGCCCGGGGCGAGGGGCTGAGGGACGTCCGCGTGGACGAGGAGGTGGAGATGGCGGTGCAGCTCGCCCTGGAGCGGTTCCGCAGCGGGGAGGAGGCGGGTGCGCTGCACTGCCCGGGCCGGGAACGCGCGGCGCGGCTTCGGGAAGGGCATTGCCAGGAGTTCCAGGGAGGGAGGGGATACTGTCCCGGTTCTCGGGCCTGGGGAGGCACGTCTGTAGCGCTCTGTCCAGTTCTGGACTCCGCAGTACAAGAGGGACCAGGAGCTCCTGCAGAGGGTCCAGTGGAGGGCAACAAAGATGATGAGCGGTTTGGAGCATCTCTTGGAGAGACAGATGTGGGAGGTGTGCCTGTTTAGTCTGGAAAAGAGAAAACGGGCAGGGGATGTCGTTATTACATGTAAATATCTCAAAGGCGGGTACCAAGAGAATGGTCTCAGACTCTTTTTAAGTGGTGCGCAGCAAGGAGCAGTAGCCATAGAGTAAAACACAAGAAATTCCGTCTCAACATGAGGGAGAAGCTCTTTCCACTGAGGGTGGCAGAAAGGGTAGAATGTCTCTCTGGAGATGTTCTGGACCCATCTGGACATGTTCCTGTGTCACCTGCTCCAGGTGACCCTGCTTTGGCAAGAGGGTTGGACTGTGTGATCTCTAAGAGGTGTCTTCTAACCCTCACGGTCCTCTGATTCCATAACATCAAGATAATATGTCAACAATATTGCCTGCTGCATTTTTTTTTTTTTTTATTCTAGAGATGGAATTTCCTTCTAGTTTCACTAGTACTGAAAGAGCATTTGTTCACCAGCTCTGTCAGTCTCTTGGACTGGTATCTAAAAGTAAAGGGTAAGTTGGAGTATCAATTTTTTTTTTTTTTTTTTTGGTGCACATTTAGAGAATTTCATGACTAGTGTTAAAATGATCCACGTTTCCAGAATGTCCTGCATTGTTGCAGGGAATACTTCTAGAGAAAAAAGTTTTAAAAGTCAGCATAAAAATAAGTATCTTTGTGCTTTCCTACTTAAAAAAACTTCTGACTTGCTAGTTTGGATAGCTTGTGTCTATACTGTTTTGTGGATTTCATAATTCCATAAAAAAGTCTTCTCACCATGATCTGCTTTGTTTTTTCCAAAGGTTTTGCATAGAGCCTCATACCTCATAAGAATTAACCTAGACTAGGTTGCTTATTCATAAAATACTTTTTTATTTTTTTCCCCTCCCAGAAAAGGAGCAAATCGATACCTGACTGTAAGGAAAAAGGATGTATCAGAACTAACACATGCAATAATGACTTGTGACTTGGCTCTCCGTACAAAACAGGCAGTTCGGAGTTTAATTCAGAGTTTTCCCGTCACAAATAAAGAACGCACAGAACTTCTGCCGAAGACAGAGCGAGGAAACACATGTGCTGTTGAATCTGGTATGGTCTGCGTGTCTTGTGATAGGGACTTGTCAATCAACAGCACTTGAAAAAACAGCTTACAACCCAAGTACAAAACATACCCCTTTCTGTTCTGTCTTCTTGCTTGTCCTGACACCCTTCCCTCTAAACAAACACCTTAATTTTCTTTTAATGGTTAAAACAAGGTCTTTTATAGCTGGCGGTGTGAGGAACTTGGGCAGTCATATCACCCACTTTGTGATGTCTACCTTGTGCTGAGTTAATTTAGATTCTTTGAGCCAAATCTTTTTGGAAATACATTTCTGAAATGTAGGTTCTTATAAGTTCCATGAGGTGAGGTTGAAGAGTCAGGTGTTACTGTGACTCTGTCAGAACATCGTTATGAGAAAATGAGGTTGACTGTTTTCCATATAGAAATTCGTGTTCTTGATAAAACAAGAAATCTGTTTTTTGTTTCTTCATCTTATAAAATAGATTTGGTCCCTAAGAGACTACTGTCCAGACTTTTTAATTTCTAGAAGAGAGAAGAGTTCACTGGACGACAAACTTCTGATATGTTTTTGGTTATTTGGGTTTTTTTTAGACAATGCTTTAAACAACATTATTGGTTTAACAGTTTTGAGTGTAAGAGTTTTGTTTCTGTGTGCAAACCTTTGTGTGTTTCATTGAATGTTTCTGATTTCTGATGCTTTAAGTGCTTCCTTTGCTATTTCTTCAGTTGTTTCAGTTCTTTGATAGGATGGTTTATTGAACAGAGGGGAGGTATAATAAATGTACTGAAACACAATTCCTTAAGAATGTCGGCTATAAACTAGTGAACAGTGTAAAATTTATCTCTCTCTAACGTATTTTTGGTTCTTGTAATGTATTGGTCTGCGTTTGTCTTGGTAAGACAGAGCTTGCAATTTACTATATGAATCTGTTAATCATATTAAATGTGTATAATTGAGTTTTACAGTAAGCTTTTCATTCTTTTGGAAAATAATTTTCAAGGAGTTATGGAATAACATTTGCAATGCTGAATTTGAAGTAGCCTTCTCAGAAGATATGCAGGTTCTTTGGCTACTTACACATTGCTTTCTAATACATCACACTGTGCTCTAGGTACAGCATGATTCCACTGGTGTTATCGAAGACAAATCTTGGACTAGAGCATTAAGTTATGTAAGACTGTCTGAAAGGAGGTCATGAAAGACCAGGGAGGATGTGAAATAAGACATATGAATCACAGTAAAGTTAACTTTTTGTCAGAAAACATGCTTAGAATAGCTTAAAGGTTTAATTCTGTAGTGGATATTTGTAGGCAAACTGTGCAGATGTGTGTGTTTGCAGATAAAACAGCTGAGAAAATATACCAGGGTGCTTTTCCATGGTTTAGTTTCTCTTCTTGGTTTTTGAAGCCTTTTTTGACTTGAAAAAAATGCTTTGGGATAGTCCATTTTTTGTTCAAAAATTTATGAAAGCAGTAACTCATTTGAAAAATATTTATTTCAAGCACCATCACAGGACATGTTGTTATGAATATGACTTCTAAATGTGTGATAAGTTTGACACTTTACCCACAGGAATGCATATAAAGTCAGGAATGTTAATTTTCAAGTAGAATTTTTAAGCAGAGTTTTAGTCACCTTCCATTCTCTTCACAGACAACAAAGAAGTGAACAAGACAAGTGGACGACTTAATGATGGTATCCCCCAGGTTCCAGTGAAAAGAGGGGAATCAGAGTTTGATTCCTTCAGGCAGTCATTACCAGTTTTTGAAAAACAGGAGGAAATTGTCAAAATAATAAAGGACAATAAAATTGTTTTGGTTATTGGAGAGACTGGATCAGGAAAAACTACTCAAGTATGTTTATTTAATGAAATAAAAAAGATAACAGTATTTATACAAAAGTAACACCAGTTTTGTAATATTTGTAATAAGGGATTTCTTTATGCTAGTTTTAAGGTTTGTTTTCCTATATGATCAAAAATCTTGTGCTCCAATTCACTTTCTTTGCTTTTTAAATACTAAGCCAGCAGATATGTGCTAAAAGCATAAATGATTCTGAACAGTTTTCTGATAGATACCATTTGTTCATTAAAATAATACAAAAAATTGAAGGGATAGTGGCTGTGAGTTTTGTATACTCCTTTTTCTTCTGAAACTAGTTCTATTCTTAGTATCAAAGTAGTATATTTTTGTGTTAAAATGAAAGATTACCTATAGGGCCTATTTTGTAGATTAATCTGAAGCAGGAAAAAGATGCTTCAACCTTTTTTTTTTTAAACAGATTGTATCAGAAATGTATTTTACTACCTGTGATGGTTCGGACTTGGCTCCTTGCCAAATGCCCAACCCTCCAGTAGTAGCCGCTCTCTTCCCCCCTTTCTACTTCCCCCAGGGCAAAGGCAAAAAACTATGCTAATTGAAGAACCCGAAAACCAAGCTAGTTATATAAAAAATATATTTTATGTATATTACAGTTAAGATGCTATGTACACAGCAAACGGGAATCCAAACACCCCCCCAAGGGATAGGGAAAGGGGAAAAAGGGACAAAAGGAAACAAAAAGGGACACCGAATAGATATGCGCAATCAAACCCGAGAACTAGTAAAGTAACTAGTAAAACAAATCTCACCACGTCCCTTAGAAAGCAGGATTGGCAGACACAGCCAGCACTTTCCAAGCTTCCACGTGGCAGGCCAGTGGATGCTGCAGGCCTCAGCCTTAGATAAGCGAGACCAATGCAGGGACCCACCGTTTCCGAACTTCTGCGGAAGAGAATAGCGAAGGCCTCTCCTCTCTTCTTATTTATACCACGATTTACATAAAAATCGTATGGAATACTGGGAATACTGCCCCTTCCTTGGTTACAAACTGGTCACTAAGGAAGGCCTAGATTAAAACCACCACGCTACCTTACTGCCCCTTCAGGTACATTTGCAGTGATAATACTGTTGTGAATCCCTTTGCAACTTGGGTAATATTGAGGTGCAGTTAAATTGTTTCACCGTGGTAAAAAAGCTATGACTTCCTCAAACTAAAAAATAAATTTGAGGTGCTTCTTTACAGATCCCTCAGTTTATTCTTGACGACTGTTACAAAAATGGAACCCCGTGTCGTGTATTTTGCACTCAGCCAAGACGTTTGGCAGCTGTTGCTGCAGCTGAAAGAGTGGCAGCAGAAAGAAGAGAAAAGATTGGCCAGACAATTGGTTATCAGATCCGACTGGAAAGCAGGTACAAAGGATATCTCTTAAAGTCAGTTGATCTTGTGTTGGTATTGTAAGCCTTGTATAGATTTAAACTACAGTATATTTGAGATACAACCTGTAAAGTCTTCATGTGTAAAGTATAGGTGGGACGTGTTATTGCAGGTAAGGAATGAAGAATGGAAAGGGCAGTTTTGCTCCTGTATTTTGCAGTTTTGGTAGTAAGTTGTCTTATAGAATTGAATTGCAAGTGCTTTCCACTAATTTCTTCTAGGGAGAGTGTGTGTGTCTAGATCCTTGTCTTATTTTCAAATCAGGTCTACACTTTCCTCTTTGTTTCTTCTCTTTCCCCATCCCCCCTCTATTTCTAACATGCGGATCCACAAGTTCTGCAAGTTTTTAAGGTAGGTATGAAGTCAAGCACGGGGACATAAACGGAAAACCAACAAAATTGGAAAGTGAATGATGATGTTGAGCATTGTTTACCAATCTAATTTGGGTTAAATTTACTCTGTTTCAGCTCTTGTGTTTGAAGCATGAAATGATATAAAAGAGATTTCTATGTCACCAGATGAATTTGTTCTTAAAGCAGAGTGGGAATAGATCGAAGACTGAAGATTGTTTAGGGTTTTTACATTCTTTGAACTGTGTATCTAGTGGGATTTTCAGGAAGGGGCAGCAGCTGGGATATGAGTGAGAAGAAGATGGCAGAAGGTAAAAAGCTGGTTATGTTGCTTACATGGGTGAAGATAATACATAACCGATGAAAATTAGTGCACTTCAGCAACAAAGCCAAGTTATAAGTTTGAATATGCATATGAAATCTCACAAGGCTATTAAGGGATTAAAAGAGCTACTAAAGGTAAATTGCAAATAAGGTGAATGATTACTGAGTGGAAGTGTTGTGCTGGCAGAAGAAAGCAAAGTGTAAATCAGATTAAAATGGAAGAATTACTGGAAGCAGTGTGGAAAATCTAGCTTAAGAAGAATCAGTAAATTTGCTCTAGACAAAGACTAAAAGGGAAATAAGACATTATTTCCATTCTGAGCCAAAAAAAAAAAAAATCTGGAGTGGAGGTATTTAGAGGTGTTTACAGTAACACAGAAGTCTAATTTTTTAAGTTTTATTAACTGTTAGTAATGACTATTTCTTGGAGGCTACTGAAGAAGACAGAAGGGTAGAGATGTATAGAGAAAGTAGAGCATTGCTATCTTGTATGAGTTCCTTGAATTTAACATGTATGAATTCAATATGTAGGAGAATTTTCGAAAGGAGGGATTAATTCCAAACTTGGAAAGAAATACAAGAAGTATGGAATGACATCTGGTGAGCTCATGTCTTCCAGAAAAGAGCTGTAGACAGCACAAAGGAAGTTTTCAGTTCCTTTAGGATTGCAGTACTGGAGAAATTAGTGACAATTGCTGCTTTTACTGGCACAGCTAACTGATATGGGTGAAGGGCTCATGGAGGACTATCTTCCATGGGAGGGAGCCCATGCTGGCACAGGCAAAGAGTGTGAGACCTCCCCATGAGGAGGAAGGAGCAGCAGAGACAGCGTGTGATGAAGTGAATGCAGCCCCCATTCCCTGTGCTCGTGTGCCTTAGGGGACAGGAGGCAGAGCAAACTGGGAGTGAAGAAGGCCTGTGAAGAAAGGAGAGGTGGGGGAATGGTGTTGGAAGATTTGGTTCTATTTCTCATTATTCTAGTCTGATTTAGTTGTTTATAAACTAAACTAATTTCCTTAAGCCGAGTCTGGTTTGCCCATGACAGTAGTTGGTGACTGGTGTCTCCTTGTCCTTATCTTGACCCCGTGAGTCTTTCACTGTATTTTCTCTCCCCTGCCCAGCTGATGAGAGGAGGGTAGAGTGTCTTTGGTTGCATCCAGCTGGGGTCGGACTACCACATGTAGGCTTGGTTATATCCAAGCGTATGTTAAGAAACTGGAATCTGTTTTTCCAAAGCAGTTCACATTTGATTTTCTAGTGAGTGGAAAGATGTGGAGAGGTTCTCAAGGTTCTGTTTTACTTACTTATTTGTTTATTGAAATTTTAATCTCATTTTTTCAGTTAATCCATTATCTGAAGTTTTGGAGCATAAACACTAAGAATCCTTAGGAATGTCTTGGAATAGGCATAGTTTATAAATGAGTGGTCTGTATGAATTCTTTGGTGAGAGAATTGTAATTCCTCTTAGGTGAACAGCTCTTCAACACTTCAGTTTTCAAGCCATGGAAAGCTAGCAGCCTTTAAGTGGTGCAGAAAACCTGAGTTGTCTTTCTGAACTGTTCCGTAGGGTTTCTCCAAAGACACTGGTAACGTTTTGCACTAATGACATGCTGCTTCGCACACTGATGGCAGGAGACAGTACCTTGTCAACTGTGACACATGTTATTGTGGTAAGGACCCTGCTGTCTTCCGTGTGGGGTGGAGCAGTATATGTTACTTGCTTATTGGGAGATGAGGTCCTCATTCTTCTGTCAATTTTTGGAGCATCTTATGTGTTCTTGTGTGGTAGAATCTGAATTGGCTTCAAGGACTTACCGATTCTTTACTGTAGCATGCATGTTTTTATGGGTTTTGGCACTTTTTTGTGTGTTTTGTTTTTTCCTGTAAAAGTCTCTTATTTAGGTTCATGCCAATAATTAATTGTGGAATTATGATGTGATTCAGGATGACAGACATCTAAATTTTTCTGAACTTCCTCTGTCAGCAGAAAAGCCCGAGGGAGGCTTATATAGATGTGGTTCAATGTGAGCATGTCCGAATTTCTGTTGTCATGTATTTTTTTTAGCAATACCAGGTTTGCAGTCCATTTGTTTTCTCAATGTTTTCAAGGTAACATGCAGTCTGTTTTCTAGCAGATTATCTGCTAGAAGTGTGCTCCTTTATGTTTATGTGAATATTCCTATTGTGGAACTTGGTAAGTCAGTGGGATCAGAATGTTTACCACAGTATTAACTTCTCCACTGCTGAAGACAGAAAAATCATGGTAATTTTATGTACCTGCCTGTTTATCGAAGTGAAAAAATCCCATGAGAATGACTCATACATTCCGAACTTCACTTTACAGATCTTTCATTTGAGTCCCTGTTTCATAATATAAAAGGAAACAGAAGAATGACAAAGATGATTAATCAGTCATGTGCCTTAATTGATGATAAGCTTTTTGCATGACTGTCTAAGCAGGCTATCTTTTTTTTTTTCTATGTGTTATCATATATTTCTTTAAATGCTCATTAGTTGTGAAATGAGAATTCATTAAAATAATATTTGTAGGATTTGTGGTTTATGGCATATTCTTGACAGTGAGGTTCAAATACAAGAATTAGATAAGTTTCTGACATTCGTTTTGACCTCTGAAGTTAAGGTGTATTTGACTTGTGCATTGCAGTGTGCTCTGCTCTGCTCCCTTTATAAAAGCTTTTGAAATACATTTTTACTTATGGATGCTTTAAAAAAAATCCTTTCTTAGACTAGACCTACACATTTTTGTGCCTCTGTAATGTCACACTAATTATGTATGTTAGTTTTTTAAAAGAAGTTCCTTTTTGTCAAAAGCTACGTTCTTTAATATGTAATGTTTATCTGTTGGTTTTGGTTGTGTTTTTTTCCTTTTGTTATAGGATGAAGTACATGAAAGGGATAGATTCAGTGACTTCTTGTTAATAAAACTGAGAGATGTATTGCAAAACCAGAATAGTTTGAGATTAATTATTTCTAGTGCTGCTCTAGATGCAAATCTTTTTATTAGGTATTTTGGAAGTTGCCCCGTCATAAACAGTGAGTATATATTTTACCTCCTACATCCAAGTAGACCTGCCGTAAGACTCATAGATCTTACTGATCTGTAGCAGACTAGTCTGAGTAAAGCCACATGATGAATACATTGAGAGTTACACCAATGCTTGTTCTTTGTGTATTTAATTTCCCTTATTTTTTAACTATTTCCACCTAATTCAGAGAGAAGAAGTACTCTTATCATTGAGTTCTGTAAATAGAGGTGTGTCCTGGCTCCCTCCATGTTCAATTCAAGAAGCAGGAAGAGGTTGTTTAAGTGCTGGTCTCTATGGTGACATAGGCCCTAGGATCTACAACAATGTGTTACATATTAATATATTCCAGCAGGTTGTAGTTCTTCAGGCCTCATAGACATTCTTAGTGATTACTGGATAAAACACAGATAACTGTACATGTTCACTTCAGAAATACAGTCCTAGGCAAATTGGGGTTCCATATATAATAACATGGTTCTTGATTTTAAAGGAAAGTCCTAGCAGTTCATCTAGATAAATATTCAGGAAAGACATGCAGTTTCTGTTAATTTATGTTCAGAGTCAGGAACCTGCAGTTAAGTTACACTCAGATGCAAAGAAAAATTATCATTATTGCTGTTTTAATTTCATTTAACAGATCTTTAGTATAGGCAGGGTGTGTAGGAGACGTGGGGTTTTTTATGGGTTTGTTTTCACTTTCCCACTCTCCTGACTTGCAGGTTTTCTGCGTGGGTCACCTCCTTAGCACCTTGCAGTCCTCTTTCTTTTTCAACAGTGGTGTCCAAATGTGTTTTGAAAAGAAGCTTTAAGAGAAATCCTTTATTTGCCAATCAAATAGACTGTCTTCATGTCAGCCATTTTTAAAGAATATTAAGTTTTAGGAGATGGATGGGATCACTTTTTTGGAGTCTTGTCTACAAATCATTATTTTAGTGAATGTTTGTGAGAAAGAAATCTTTTTTCTTTTTATAGGTAGAAGTGTTTATTTCTAGTTCCCAGTTCTGAGTTTCTGCACAGTAAAATAATGCTTGAAGCTTTTTGGAGGCAGGAATCTGGAAATTACACATGATTTCAGTGTTTTCCAAAATTTTTTTTTGCAAGGGGAAGCCTCAGTTGTAATTGTTGTGTGGCTTTCAGTTTACTCTTTTTGCCGCTTCCTGTTCTTTTAGACCAATGTGTTTGTTTCGGAAATTCTGATGGCAGTCTCCCCAGTAGTTACACTGTTATACTAAACTTAATGCACTAATTACAATTGGAAAGATTATTTTTCCGTTTTTTTGAGAATATAAAAATGAAAAGAAGAGTGTTTAGAATAATTTGGCTGTTAATATAATGAAAAAAGTTCGATTCTTCTTCAGCAATATAGTTGACATTTTTTAGTTGTGGGTTTGTGTAGGACACTGAGTTGTGTGATCAGTGTTGGAAGAATTCCTCCATCACAGGTTTTAAAAGTATGTGAATTGTGGCTTGTTCTTTCTGAAGGAGAGTCCTGAGTCCAAATTCATCTGTGGAGTGTCTGCTAAGGCAACAAATTAAAATCTAGAGATTTTAATTCTTCACATGAAAAACATTCTTTAATGTCCACAAATAAGGTCTAGAAAACAATCATGGTGAAAAAGAAATCAGGATAAATTATTAGGAGCTAAAGGCCATTGGGATGTCTCATTTGTTAGGAAATATTCAGTAAAGAAAGCCAAATTTGGCTGAATTAGTTGAGGAAATTGAGAGAACTCCATCTCCTCATATACTTCTTAGGAAAGTAGTTCAATACAAAGATAACAGTCTGCTTGTGGAATCTTGCACTAAAGCCTATTAATTGCTCTTGTATTTTGTAATCCAGGTGGTAGGCTTTAGTAGTGAATATTCTGAAACCTTAGATAAAAACGGCTATTTTCTTTTACTCATTTTGATAAAATTGCAGGTAATAACTATCAATCTAATGAGCATCTCTTGCTATAACTCCTAGTGGAATTGGAGAGGTTAATGAGAAACAAGGTATTCAGCTGACGTTTCCCTTTTGAAATGTTTGTGGCCCAGTAATTTTAAGAAAATAAGCTTCAGTGAAGATACTCTTATAAGATTTTTCCTTAAATGAGGCCCTAATAATGTTTAATCCACATTTTGTGTCTATGAAAATGATTTTTAAAAATTAGTATTGTAAGTGAAGCTAAGGAATTTCTAATATTTTATTTAATTATATTAATTAAATGAAATGTAATTATATTAATTAAATTAATCTAATTATACTTTCAGTCCAAGAAAGACCTTTTGAAGTTAAGGAGATGTTTCTGGAGGACATTTTACGAAGCACTGGGTATACAAATAAAGAGATGGTCAAGTACAAAAAAGAGAAGCAGCAAGGTAAGGAAATGAGTCTCACTGATTGAACAGGTAATAGGATTGTTTTCTGTTAAAATTCCTATTTAAAAAAAAAACCACTCAAGCCCCCAAAAAATCAATTGTTATATGGAGGAGCTGTATAACTTTTAGATATTTCACTTCTGGAGAAAAATCTGGGCTGAGATTGTGTAGAAGATGGTAACTTACGAAGCTTATTTGAATCCAGTAAGTTGGAATCCTGAAGGCTTAGAGTGTTAGGCTTACAGCAGATGCTTCCAGTGTTGCTCTTTGTGTGCCCTTAATCGTGGAATTGGTAGCAGCTTTCTCAAATAAAAGAGAGAGGATAGGTAAAGCTATGACCCGATACAACTGTTTATTTAATGGAAAAAAAAGAGGATAATTACAATGACATTAACATTTTTTGGGAAATACTTTATGTATTCTAGAAGAGAAACAGAAAAACACTCTCACTGAGTGGTGTTCTGCTCAGGAAAATACTGGCAAACTGAAGCCTCAGAGACAAAAATCTGTCCCAAGGGCAACTGAGGAGTATCATGTGTTGGATGATGGTGGTGACACAGTTTTTAATCAAGTAGTAAGTTTTTCTTTTTGTTGAAAGAGTTTTTGCATCTGTATTATATTACTAGCCATTTATAATCTGGTTTTTAAAGATACTACTATTAAAGATATTAATTTTATTTTTAGAGATATTACAGACGATATTAACATATTTTAAAGAGTGTTTTATTAGAATTAACTACTCTAGGTGAAGTTTGCTTTTCAGTTATAATGGTAGTACATAACTTTTCGTCAGCTCAAGTGGCTCAACTGCCACTTAACTTGAAGTACTTGCATGGGATAAAATAAATGCTTTAATTGATGTCTGAGTGCTGAATTCCTGGTTGTTACTTGGAAAACTAACCATTCAAATTCTTTGTGGGTGATACAGGGGAATAAAGACAACTTTTGGAAGAGATTAATCTTTCAATGCTGTTTCTTATCTTCAGACTGAAAAAGATGTGAATTGCCTTGAACCGTGGCTAGTAAAGGAAATGGATTCTTGTCTTTCTGACATCTGGTTGCACAAAGATATTGATTCCTTTGCTCAGGTGTTTCATCTCATTTTAACTGAAAATGTCAGCGGTAGGTTTCTCAACTTATTACATCAGAAAGAAGCAACCGCGAATTTATTTCAATTTCTGTGCCTGCTTTTATCTGCAGTTTCAAATGTTGATACCTTTGCATTCTGATGCCTATTGAAAAAAATGAATAGGGCTGGCAGAATTAATGAATCGTTTAGTGATTTGTTGCTGTACTTGTTTTGAAGGATTGATAGAAGTTACGTTTCTAAAATAGTGTTTAATACACACAAACTGACTGCAGGGATGAAGTGAGGAAAAAATACTCTTTGGGCTGAATGTTAAAGATAGTATTTGTACTACATTTAGATGAAAAAATAACATTTTTGTTGGGTTTGCTGATGGTTTTTTTTTTACTTCTCAGTTGATTACAGGCATAGTGAAACCAGCGCGACTGCTCTAATGATTGCTTCAGGGAGAGGCTTTTTGAGTCAAGTGGAACAACTGATCAGTATGGGAGCAAGTATCCACTGCAAATCATCCAATGGCTGGTAATAACAAATAGATAAACCGAAAGATAGATTTATTTATCAATATAGACGCGAGAAAGAAAATTAGTTTAGATGTCATAGAATTTTCTAATTTACCAAAAGCACAAATACGTTTTGACAGCCTATTAGTGAGCTTCTGACTTCTGTTCATTGCGTTGTTTTCTGTCAATTCTAAATTGAATTCTTAATTACACGGTCTCCATTATAGGCTATACACTTGGTTTTTATGTGTCTGATTTAAGACACAGTTTAGAAGAAAAACTGTGGTCTTTTTCACTGCATTGATTGTGAATTGGACCCCAAATATTTGGTAATTCTTATTTTCAGAGAGTTACCTAAATCAGAAGATCTTTGTGTATGTCTGTAAATATGTTTGATCAATCATGTAAAAATATTTGTGAATCCATAAATACTTAAGTTTTGTGGCCATGGATTGTGTCTTCATATAAATGGGCAAGTATTAATAAAGAATTGAACATTAGAAAGATAAGAATTAGGTTTCCAGTGGTCTCATATTTGGCGCTACCACTTGCAAGACTGGAGAAGGAATGCACTTTAAAAAGTGAAACAGTGAACTGCATTGTGAGGAGGGAACCTTCTGTAAAACATCAAATAGCCCAATATTTTCCCACATTTTGTTGAAAAATGCCTGGAGTGTAATTTTGTGAGATAACTTAAAGGCACTACAGAAAGGCATGGCTGATCTGTGTGCACTGGTGTGTGCTTTTTGAAGGAATGGCTCATTCTTCCTCCTCATATCATTGTGCATGTTTGCATATACTTCTGTTTAAAACTGGCATTGTTTTGTGGTAAAGGACCTGCAGTTATTTAAAATTGGAAAGGCTCTTACACCTATTTATGCACTTCAAAACAGGAAGTTGCGGATCATCCAGCAATAACAGCATTGATTACAGTACAGAAATTGATACAAAAATATGGTATCAGTTGTCTCCTAACATAATACGCTATGCATGTGCATCTTTTGAAGTGAGAAATCCAGCAGGAATTTTTCTGCAACTCTTTTAGGATGGCTGTTGACTGGGCTAGGCGCTTTGGACAGACAGAGGTTGTTGACCTGTTGGAATCCTACAGGTAAGCTATAACTGCTTTGCTGAAAGAGTTGTGTAACGTGTTGAAGAGAAATTTATGTTTTGTCTTTCTTAAAATCTAGCCTAAATAACAAGATTTTTTTAAGAATAGGAATATTTTAAAAACACAGTTATTAAAAAAAAAAAAAAGAAAATAAGTTTGTTTGTACTCAGAATCATAGTGATTATGTTTGCACAACTCCTAAGATAAATACAGTTATAGTGCCATAGGAGTACTAGCTTTTATCACCTAGATATGGACATTCCTATCATGGTGGGCAGGATGTGATCGTAGTAACTTAATTAATATGCAAAGATGTTGATTCTATATCAGGTACCATTTTAATTTCATATACTCATTTTGGAAACAAATCTGTTTTGTACTTTTACCTGTATATTGTTGATACACAATAGCCATATTAAAGAAACTTTATAGGAGTAATATGTACACTAGGTCATTCAAAAATTGTTTTTTGATTAACTAAAGTTTTCACAGTTTTGTTATTGTTTTGTATAGATCCATATTATTACAATTTCTCTTAGTGTAGTTTCTGATAGAGGGAAACCTTTGGAAAATGCCTATCTTTTATATATTTTTCCTTTAGCAGATAAACAAGTACTGGCCTTATACTTCGAGTTCTGTCACATTTGCTTATGACTGTGTTTCAATGAAGTATAAGAAAATTCAAGTTAACACTAAAAACTGAAGTTGCATGTTTTGTTGGAGTACACTTTAATTAGTGAACAGTAATAGTATTGTGCATATGCTGTTCTGCTTCACTTTAAAATTAAAATTTGCAATGAGTGGTCATGTTGGTCTTGATCTAAGTTTGAGTTGATGCCTGAATGCAAACCCAAAGCATACAGCCTTGACTCCAGTCTGTATGTTTTTCTCTTTTAGTGCTTCATTTGGGTTTGGAAATCTGGATGAAAGTTCCCTGGTCCAAACAAGCGGTACTGACCTTAGTGCAGAGGACAGAGAGCTATTGTCAGCTTATCATCACAGTTTTGATGATGAAAAAGTGGATCTGGATCTGATTATGCACTTACTTTATAACATCTGCCATAGTTGTGATGCAGGTAGGTTTATATATGCACTCCCAAAGAACTGCTGTGCATTCAGCTTCTGATGAAAGAAGTCCCAAATAATTAAAACCTTCAAGGTGCTAATCTATGTGGCACTGACATATATTTGAAGTGAATTTTCTGTTTAACTCTGCAAACCCACTTCTTTTTTAGGAGCAATTTTAATATTTCTTCCTGGATATGATGAGATAGTGAGTCTGAGGGACCGTATTGTTTTTGATGACAGGAGGTTTGCTGATAATGCTCACAGGTAGAACCTTTAGTTTATGTGACTGTGTTGAGGTTTTTATTGCTTCTTTTAAAGTTCCTTAAAATGTGGTCTTTGTCTTGCATTAGATACCAAGTTTTCATGCTTCATTCAAGTGTGCAGACTTTGGATCAGAAGAAAGTGCTTGAAAGTCCACCTTCTGGCATCCGCAAAATAGCAAGTATCAGAGGACTTTGTCAGATGCTGATATTGATCTGTTTTGTCTTTGGTTTTACAGCTACTATACTTTTGGATTTTTTGTTTGTTTGTTTTATTGCAGATTCTTTCTACTAATATTGCAGAAACCAGCATAACAGTCAATGATGTTGTATTTGTTATTGACTCTGGCAAGGTGAAAGAGGTATGATTGCATTAAACTTTCTTTGAGAAGTAAAATTCCTAGTGTTGTTCTAAAATATATAGTAGGTACATTATGAAGAACTAATTTTTTACAGTAGGCTGAGAGCTAGTGCATGTCAAGAAACAAAGCTCACTGAGAAGTTTTGACATCCATTTGTTTTATGACAAATGCTGTAAATAGCTGTTTAAAACCCTGTAAAAGCTACTGTAAATTGCTATATTGTTATTTTTTTTTAATTTAATATTTCTGTTTGAATTTTAAAATAAGTCCATCACTTCAGATCTCCATCTTCCTGAGGTTTAGAGAACACTGGGAATTCCCTTTGTCCTGCTGTTGTATCAAGCCCAAATTTAATCCATGAGGATTTTAAGCATTGGTTTTGATGTGTTGAATGCCCATTTCCAAATTACTTGTTCAAGAAGAGTGAGAGAAAATTATGAGGCAGTTTAAGACCTTGTATATGGCCTTGAAAATTTGATTTCATAGGATATACATACACTAAGTTTCTGAAGTTCTGCATGTAACTTTTTCTGTAATTTTGCATTGAATGTAGAAAAATAAGGATGTAATTTCCAAGTGAGACAAAGAGGAAAACTTTATTCAGTGTAATAATATATTTTTGCTTGGTTTGTGATAACTCAAACCGCAATCCGTATCTGAGAATTATCTATTGACTAGAAAACTTTAATTTAGAAAACTGTGTTGTATAAAGATACTGTGAAGTAAATAGAATCAGAAGTTTACTTGAAACTAAGAACTTCAGAACATACCTTTATGCCAAAACTGATGATGCTTATTATTATAATTTGTATTATTATATTTTGTAGAAAGCTTCTGTTGATAATATAAATTACTAGTAACTTTTATTTCATGTACCCTATTCAGTCTTGGTTTTATGTTCCTTACTTCGCTTTTATAGAGGTCTTTTGATGCACTGAGTCATGTTGCAATGCTAAAAACAGCATGGATTTCGAAAGCAAGTGCTATCCAGAGAAAAGGCAGGTAATAAATGCCTCATACCAATTTTTATCTTATAGATATCCACTGTCTTGTATGTTGAGAATGAAGTACACAATATAATAGTAGCCAGACTGGGTAATGTTTATAGCCTAGTCCAGTATTGTGTTGGACAATGGCCAACACTCATTCTCTACAGAAGAATTATTTCCTTGGAGTCATTTCCCAAGCTGTAGAGAAGTGATGCTCAGGAATTTCCCAAAACTTAGATTAGGTCTAGGTTGTTTTCACTCCATGAGCTTTATCTACTTCCTATGTCTCCCATGTAACACCAGCAGCCACAATGTACAATAGTGTTTCACAACTTGTCTGTGGGCAGAGAACTGCCCTCTGCTAGTTTGTAATTGATGCCCCATCATTCCTTTATTAGGAGAGACATTAAGCAGTGATTCTTTATTCCCCTTCTCCAAACTATTGGCCATGATCATGTTCTTCCCAACACTGTGGGTGAAGGCTGAGAAGATTATTTATGAAGTAGCAACAAATGCCTGTTTAGTGACATGGTATTGGCATTAAACTGTAGGTGATTAGAGCGTGAATGTGATCATTTGCTGTCTCTGTCCCTTCACTCACCAACTGTTCAATCTTCATTTTGCCTTTTAGCTTCTAACTGTTTGGGGGATGTGAAGAGTAAGACAGAAAGTTTACAACTTATATTCCTTATAGCAAAGGAGAGTTTAGATTTGCTTTGGTCTTAGGTTAGCAAAAAAAACGTATTTCACTTTGCTTAGATAGGCCTTGGTTTTGTTTTTGCAGAGTTTTCAGTGTTGGGTTAAAATTACAACAAATTTCCATATATCAAAAAATAATTCATGAATTGCAAAACTCTCACCTTGTATGGGACTTCCACTTAACATCATCTTTTTCATAGAACTGCTCACTACTTTTCCATCCTATATTTATGTGTGTGTGTTGGTTTTTGTCTGGTTGGTTTTGTTTTTAAAACAAAATGCTAATTTTTACAACTTCCCTTATTTTACTTTGAAGGGCTGGGCGCTGTCAACCTGGAGTTTGTTTTCGTCTGTTCAGCAGGCTCCGATTTCAGAAGATGTTGGAATTTCAGACTCCAGAGCTTCTAAGAATGCCACTTCAGGTGCATGTTGAGTTAGAAATTATAACTTAAAAAAATGTATTTTCATCAGACCATACTATTCATTTTTTAAAAGTGTGTGCTTGTTTTTTTTTTTCCCAAAATCTTAATGACCTTTTTTTATTCTGCTTTTTAACTTTCAGGAGATTTGTTTATACACAAAACTGCTGGCTCCACCTAATTGTCCAATTGTAGACTTTCTTATGAAAGCTCCTGATCCGCCACCTGCTGTAGTTGTGAGAAATGCTGTGCATATGCTTAAGGTCAGAGAAAAGGAATAGATTTTGATAGGAATTGTATTTGATTCCCTGTTTGTGATTTGGCAACATATTTTACTGACTTATGTTTGTACTGCAACTGTTGCTTAGTTACTGAAGGATGTTTTGAAATTTTGTTTATTGTCTGTTTTTATTTTGTGTGTGGGAATGTGTTTTTCCATGGCAATGGAAGAGAATGTTTGAAAATCTTGTCTCAAACTTTCAAGTCTGACTTGCTTTTTTTTGCTTGGGAGCAGTTCTAGTTAATGTCCAGTATTCACATCCTTTCTTCTTTCATTGTAAATTAATATTGTCCACTGTTCTCATCCCCTTCTCCTTTTTTATGTTTTTTTGTCTTTTAAACAGACAATAGATGCCATGGACCCTTGGGAAGATCTCACCGAACTTGGTTATCATCTCACTGAATTACCAGTAGAGCCACACCTTGGTAAAATGGTGTTGTATGCAGTTGTTTTGAAGTGCCTGGACCCTGTTCTTACCATTGCCTGTGCTCTGGCCTGTCAGGACCCTTTTGTCCTGCCCACTCTGGCCTCTCAGAAGCGTGCAGCCATGCTCTGCAGGAAACGCTTTGCTGCAGGGACCTTCAGTGACCACATGGCCCTTCTCAGGGCTTTCCAGGTATTACTTCATTTCAGAAGGCGTAATAATCACAATAGATCACTCATGCGAGCAAAGGATGTCCCAGTCAAGTTGGATGTATGGTGGACTATGATTAAGTCCTTTGAGAATAAACTCCTGTGTACGGAACTCATAAATTTGTGAAGGATCACTTTTTGTCATAGCTTTTTTTGGTATTTTCAAACCTCATTTAATTCTGAATGTTCCAACAGTGTGTCTCTTTATATCCCGCTACGCTGATGACTTAAAATAGTGATCTTAATACTAACTACTAAGTGATCTTTAAACTAACTTAATAGTCTTAAAAATATAACTTCAGATAATGATGACTATATGTTAGTGTAGGGAATGGGTAAAGAGAATGTATTACGCAAACAAAAAAAATCTGGTTCGATACATACATTTTCAGAATGACTTTTGCTTTCATTTTATTGACATAAATGTAATTTTTTAAAAAATGCATTTTTAAATTTTACTAATCTAATTAGTATGCAAATGTAAAAAAAAAAATTATTTTCAGGCATGGCAGAAGGCACGCAGTGATGGCTGGGAGAGAGCCTTCTGTGAAAAGAACTTCCTGTCTCAAGCCACGATGGAAATCATCGTAGGAATGAGAACACAGTTGCTTGGCCAACTCAGAGCCTCGGGTAAATAGCTTGGAAAAAATTTTAACATAGTTTTGAAGTTAAGAGTAAAGAAGTTGTAACAAGAATAGTGTTCACTGATGTAGTTCTCCTTACTTAATTTGAAACAGACCAGTACACCTTCATGCTGGGCGTGGTGAAGGTGAGAAAGTGTGGCTTGGGAACAGCTGATCTAACTGAAAGAACGATAGTTGTTCCACATGCCACTGGCTTTCAGTGTGAGATACATTTCCTTGGATTTTTACATTTTAGAAAATTATTTCCATCAAAAATGTCTTTGTATTGTACAAAGTGAATTCTATTTAATGTTAGTATAAAATCCCCCGTGGTTTCTCTTGGGTGCTGTTAAGGTTGGCAGTGGTGAAAAATGCATCAGTTTGCAGTTCATTTCAGTTTATTTTCAAATTCCTTATGAGAGACAAAAAGCTAAATATTAAATACAAGCAAACATGGCACACTTTTGTCCTTTTCTTTCTTCAGGTTTTGTTAGAGCCAGAGGAGGAGCTGATATTAGAGATGTTAATACTAACTCTGAGAACTGGGCTGTAATTAAAGCTGCCTTGGTGGCCGGGATGTATCCCAATCTTGTTCATGTAGACAGAGAAAGCTTGGTTTTAACTGAACCAAAGGAGAAGAAAGTGCGATTTCATCCTACTTCTGTTCTTAGTCAGCCTCAGTATAAAAAGGTACAATCACTTTGAATTTATAGTTCACAAAAAAGAACACTCTTATCAAATGCTTTAGAAATGTCTTGTCATAGTTGTCAGTGCATCATGTGCATTAAAACTGCACTTTTAGAAAATATTTTTCCTGCCAGTAGTTAGGGTAAAGGGAAGTTTGTTTATTTTTTCATTGTTTCAATTAGTCTTTCCTCTAGATGGAACAAGAAAAAATGGTAAAATAAAAACCCCTAGTTACAAAACTGGTTTCAAGATGTAATGATCCCTGCTTGTAATAGCAGGAAGAAGTTCTGCTCTTAAACATTTCTTTTATAAAGATCCTTTTTTAAAGCAAAATATTTCCTTGCATGGTGGTAGGAAAATTTGTGAGTCTGGTTGAATTCTCTCATGGTTTTTTATTTGTGTGTGTTTATGTAAAATATTATTTCGACACAAATATAGAATCATAGAATGGTTTGAGTTAGAAGGGACCTCAAAGATCGTCTAGTTCGAACCCCCTTGCCATGAGCAGAGAGACCTTCCACTAGACCAGGTTGCTCCAAGCCCCGTACAACCTGGCCTTGACACTTTCAGGGTTGAGGCATCCACAGCTTCTCTGGATAAAATAACAAATACGTTAATTTTAATTACAAATAGAGGGTAAAATAGCCTATTGTTATCTGTTCTTGCATAGATTCCCCTAGCAAATGGACAAGCTGCAGCCATTCAGGCACTCCCTACAGACTGGCTTATATATGATGAAGTGACAAGAGCTCACAAGATAGCAAACATCAGATGCTGCTCTGTTGTAACACCTGTCACTGTGTCACTCTTCTGTGGACCAGCTAGGTTGCCAAGTAATGCCTTGCAGGCATCATCGTCCTTCCGAGGTACACTGGAATCTGGAGTTGGAATGTTTCCATTGGTATATGATGCGGAAAGCTTATTTTTCTAGAGTATTATTATATATATTGGTTAATTCTGAAAACAACAGAGTTACAGTTCTTGTTGTTGTTCAAGAATAGTTTATAGGCTATGTAACAAATGTCTCAGTTTTGGGAATCCATATAGATTCATATCCATAAATTACACAGACACAGTTCTAGAGTCTCAGAAGTTAAAGTATAATTTGTAGGGAAATAAAGGATGCAACCAAAGTGTCTAATGCTAATGCTAATACTGGAAAGTGTAGTATATATGTTTTTTTTTCTTCAGACTAGTTTATTTGATACTTTGAACCAGAGTAGTTTAGAACCAATCAATATGGTGAATAGTCATATTTCTTCCAGCTGACACATGCATTTTCCAGATAATTTTCTACTGATAACTTTTAGCTATACTGTTAACTATAAGGAATAAAGAATATCTAGAAATTTCTTTTTTTTTTCATATTTAAATTGAGTGCTGTAGGAATAGAAGCAAAAATAATCTATCCTGCTGCCAGTTCTCATAGTTTGTATCAGAGTCCAAGTTATTTCTGAAGCTTTCCAGTCTTGCTGTTAAACTGTAATCTTTGAATAGTGTTCGTGCTGATTGAATTGCACTTTCAAGAAAATAAGAGTTCCTGTTTAACAGCCATATATATATATATAAAACTTATTTTTTCTTAATCGGTCTTTAAATCTGCTGTTTTACTAGGAAAGAGAGCCATGTGTGTGTTTACAAACAGTTTCACTGATAAAGGTACATGAGTGGAGACAGATCCCATCAGTACAGGTGTTTACAAAGTAGAGCCCTCAGCAGGTCTGGCTCCTTGAGTTCTGCTGACTGGAGCAGAGACTTTTCACTGGGGTGTATTTGCAGAAAATAAAAAGTAGTTCTACACATGTTTAGATTTTAAAGTAAATTGTAGAAGGAAAAATAGTTTATTCTGGTAATGCAGTAGTACTCATTTTTTTGTATGTGACTGGAAATAGTACAGAAATGTTAATGCACCTTTTATATTTAATTCAGGGAGTGGGGTATCTAATGACAGCAGTGACAGTGAGATGGAGGACAAAACAATTGCTAATTTGGCACTACTGAAGCTGGATGAATGGCTCCATCTCAAATTGGACCCTGAAGTAAGTAATACATCACTGTTGTGCTCGTTCCATGTAGAAGGATATTTATGTTGTACCAACCTAAGAAGATTTTTGTGACATTTGATTAACCAAAAATTTCCTGTAAGAGTGGCTGTCATGGTCCGTTTGGGTGTCTTGGACAAGGTACTCTTGTGATTTAACCTTTACTTCATGAGCTTGTCAAGAAATAAACAGGGGCTCAATCCCCTTTCGCCCAGAGTAGTTTATTGCATGAGTTCACGTATTCATCATCCAAGTTGTGAGGTTCCATAACCTACCACCCATAACTCCCAATTCTTGTACCTATAAGCCAAGAGAAAAATAAGAATTAATTACATAGCTGAAATTGTTGCCTAGCTCTTTGAAATAGAAGTCTCTAGGTTATTCCGGAGCTGTGGCAAGAGGTAGAGTAGGTTATGGGTTATGAAACACTTGGACTTTGCAGGACTAATAACAATACTGTCTCTTGTAGACATGTCCAAAAGCATGATTTTTAAAATTTTACTATGATGGAAGCATTTATGATGAAATGGGAATTAGACTTTAGTCTTCTAGATTTAGTAATCTCATTTGAGCAGAAGTCTCTGTAAGAAAAATACATCACATAGAGCTCTTTTCCCTCAGGTATGAATGAGGTGTGCATGAATACAGCCTGAATTGAGAGGAAGGGCATAAAGCATGAAAAGATTGGGGTTATTTTAAAAAGATAAAATTTTACAGTGAGAAAAAAAATTTTGTGGGTTTTGCAATAACAGTGTTAAGTTTAATACAGAGCTAAATGAAATGTTTCAAAACTTACCTTGCATCCCAGGAAAGAAAAGTAGCTTAACAGCTTAGTTTAAATGTGAGGTTACTACCTCTCCCCAAGACCTTAGTCTTGCCTTTCAGTTTGTTCCCGTTAGAATGCCAGATGCTGCTTGATAGAAAAGACATAGGGTTCCAGTACCTGTCTGGTCTAACTTTTATTAGTCTCTAACAGAATTGACGTTCCTTGCAGGCTGCTGGAATGCTCTTGCAACTCAGACAGAAGTGGCACAGTTTATTCCTGCGTCGCATGCGAGCTCCTTCTAAACCGTGGTCTCAAGTTGATGAAACAACTGTAAGAGCAATTACAGCTGTTTTAAGTGCTGAGGAACAGTCTGCAGGTTTGCAGCAGCCTTCAGGAATTGGTCAGAGACCAAGGCCTGTGACTTGTGAAGAGCTTCCTCTGGCATCTGCATGGAGGTCAACCAACAGCAAAAAAGGATCAGCAGAAGCTGAATTCTCTGACTCCTCTAATGCTGAAAAGTAAGATGTTGAGGTCTTCTATAGACTGTAGGTTGCAATGTATTTATCTATAAAAGCATCACTTGAATTTCTGTTAGTAATAGGAAGGTAGAAACAGTAGAAATACAGTGGAAAGGTTTGATACTGTCCTGTGCTGTGTTGTAGTTGTGATTTTTCATTGAAAATTATTTCACGGATATGTGCCTGCTGTTTGAGAGAGCAATCAGGAGTGGCATTCATGAATTGTGATCTTTGAGAAGTAGCAGAAGAGGTTTAACTGTAGCATTCAAAAGCAATACATGAACAGTATGGGGTTTTTAGTTTACTGTTTAGTGGGTTTTGGAAATAACTGTAGTATGTGTGGTTGTGCAGTAGGCTGATATGTAGATACAAATTGTTCTAGGACCACTTGTGAATCTCGTGGTATGCCCTGTATCTTTACTTTTTAGAGTTTCAGTGAAACCTACACCTCCCACACTTCACCAGCCAAAGAAGTACAAAGAGAAAGACATTTTGCACTCCAAACGATCTTCAGACGACAGGTCAGCTCAGTCATCAGTGAAGCCTGCAGACAGCAGCAGCTATCCCAGCCCTTGTGCTAGTCCTTCTTCTCCAATATCTGGAAAGGTAGAGTTCTCATGAACATATTACCCTGCTCTTCAAAACTAATAGAATTTCTTTCTGATATCTTTCTGCAGCTATCAGGTATTTTATTGATTAATTAAGAACCTAACTTAGCTTTTCGTTTATGACAGCTGCATAATAGTTCCTGCTGGTACTTAAAATCTAGACTAAATATCCTTGTTACACTAGTTTAATACAGTAAAAATATTACTCTTTGCAGACTGCTTAGATAAAGTAGAAAAATCAAATTATTTTTTAAAAAGTTGTTCTAATAAACAGTGAAGGTTTATTATTTTTTTTCCATCTGAATTAGTATATTGTACATGCATTTCTGAAGTTTTTAGATTCTGCCTTCCTCTGTTTAGGAGCACGTGGGTTTTTTTAATGATCCTTATTTTAACAAAGCACATATTTTTAGTAAGGTTATTGGCATAATAATACTTGAATAGTAAACTGCAGTAATATTAAATAGACCATTTACTTGAATAGTAAACTGCAGTAATATTAAATAGATCATTGAGAGGAAACTCCATGGACTCTTGGAGGATTTAGTAATTCCTCTTAAGTCTTTCATCTTTGAAATACAACCAGTGTAAAGGGCTGAAAGCATGTTTCTTGAAGGTGGAAATTCAGGTAGTGTGCTGTAGGCTGCAGTCTAGGATGGGTAATTTCGTGTCATCTGATGGTGTGTCCGACTCGATGAATTGTAATTAATCACTAGACTGTTTAGGCCTGTCCTGTCCTACTTGTTTGCTGCACCTCAGAGTTGAATTATTATTTTGAAAAGTGCTTAAAAAAAGGACAAATAGATGTGAAATACATTTTGAAGCCAATTCAGACAGAAACAACTGATAGATCCTATGTCTCTTGAAGAATCTATGGGAGGAGCTCAGTCAAGGGATTCTGTCTTCATCTGTGTAAAACTTTAGAACTAAAGCCTGGTTTATTTTATTGTATTAATTTAATTTAATTTTTCCAGGGTTCCAAATCTCCTTCGCCAAGACAAAATATGCCAGTTCGGTACTTTATAATGAAAAGTAGCAACTTGCAAAACATTGATATTTCTCAGCAGAAGGGTATATGGTCCACTACGCCAAGTAATGAACGAAAACTGAACGGAGCCTTTTGGGAGAGCAACGTGGTTTACTTAATATTTTCTGTTCAAGGGTCTGGATGCTTTCAGGTGAGTCCTAAGCTAATACTAAATATGAGCTGTGGTTGATGGTTTGGGAGAGTGCAGTGTAGTGTGGAGGACTTTGCTTATGACCCCTGATCTTCTGATAAGTAGAGCAGTGTTTAAATCTCTCTGGTTGCTGAAGAAAGAGTACTTCTTTCTTCTCTGAAATATACCTTTTTAATTAATTCAGTTTGTCCTTTAAAGGCTGACTGAGTTGCCTCCAAGCATCATGAGTCAGAATAATGTTTATACCCACTAATCCTTTAAAACAACAAACACCTCCCCCCCGCCAAAAAAAAAAGGTACTCTTTGCATACCAAAATAAATATTGTGAACGAACAAACAGTTACAGCCAAGTCATAGCTTTCTAAAGCCAAGAAACTCACAAATGCCTTTATTTCAAATTTTAAAACTTGTTTTTGCCTGAAATGTCATTTGTAAATGTTAGGAAGCTGACCATGATTGTTCCAGAGCTGTGTCTTGACTTCAGGTTTGGTGAGTTATTTGTCAATAACTTCTTGTCAAATCTGTGGCCAGTTTGAAGTAAAAGACTTGGCCTGGTAATGCTAAGTTGCAGGTTAGCTGTGTTGTAGAGCCAGCCAAACTCAGTTGTTCCCAGTGAAGAAGGTTCAACTTACTTCCTCATATATGAACTATTCTTAAAAGTTCCTTAAAAGTGTCCTTAAATAAGTTAGGTGTAATCTTGGATTGGGATTTCTTTCATTTTCTTCCAATTACTTGTCTTGGAATTTTGTTCTGCTCCATTGAAAAAGGAAATCAAAACAACTTTGACTTCTTCTTTCAAGAACAGCAACACTCTCTCAATTCTATGTGAACGTTTATTAGTGTAGAGGGAACATGGGAAGGAACAAATGGATTTCTGCAAAAAATATCTACAACTAACAAGGAATAGCTTACGGACTGTTCTGTAGTAGAACATTCGTCTTGGTTCCTTGTGCTTCAAATGATTTTACGAGACCTCTTCAGTCTCTGTTACGAAGCTTAAAAAACCTTTGAAGGTAATGGTGAGAAACTGATTGGGAGACATCCTTTGTGGTCAAATTCTAGAAGGCATATTTGAAGTGGATAAAGAAATTATACTTCTAACCTTCTGGATGTAAACGTTTTAGAAGACCGAGCTCCATGGAGGGAGAGCATGTGAATCACTATGAAACTAATTTGAAATTTCCATGTGAAGTTCATTTATTGAATTCATTATGTGTGTTCTTTTATACTTCAATTTTTGTTGCAGGGTTTTGCTAGAATGGGTTCAGCGATTGGGTGTGAGAAAAGTCAGGACTGGGGATCTGCTGGTTTTGGAGGTGTTTTTAAAGTGGAGTGGATCAGAAAAGAAAGCATTCCTTTTCAGTTTGCACACCATTTACTCAACCCTTGGAATGACAGTAAGAAAGTACAAATAAGCAGAGATGGCCAGGTAATGTTATTCTCTTCTAAAATCTGTACTTGGTAGAACTGTGTATTGTTTATTAGCTTGTTCAGCCTTGACATTTATCTCAACTCTGCTCACTATGTGTTAATCTGAATCATTTAATTGGTGTGCATTGTACCTACTGCTAATGCAGAACTACTATTGAGGTAGTGGAGATGGTCTGATAAAATGAAAAGTTTCTTTCTTCATACATATTTAAAAAGAAAAGATTTAAAGGTGGATGCTTCCAAAAAGAAGTTGTTTGGTTTTTTTAGTTGGTAATTTTGGTTCTGGAGATGTGTGCCTGCTTTGATTCAGATGCATTCCCCAAGATAGTCTGTCACACCCAAATAAGTGTTCATAAATTATAACTTGGAGTTTTCTGTAAAGGTTGAAGAGAGTCTAAAGTTCTGAGGCAGAATAAAGCTCAGGACAGTTCTGCAATTTGTTAAATCTAAATGCAACTACAAAAAGCCAAAGAACTGGCACAAGAGTTCTCTGTGGCAGTTTCTGTGTTCTCCCTGACTCTTCCCGAAACACCTCCTTGATGATTCAAGAGCTAAACTCTTTGTATCGTCTTCCCACTGCTTCTTCAAAACCTCTCCTGTTGTAAAGAAGGGAGAATGCTGTAAGTAAACAAGGAAAGGAATATAGCACATCTTGAAATTGAGAGTGCTTCTCTTGTAAGTGGCTCTTAAGACCTAAAGAGTCTCAACAGTGTTAAAATTATTATATTAATGTCTGTAATTCCACCAAGAGCCACTGTATTTCCTGTGACCTGCCTTTTGACATTCTCCAACACACTTGATGGAATTAAACTGAAACGGTATGGGAAAAAAAGATCTTTAGTTAGTGAGTAAGTGACCTGTGGAACGTACAAAGTGTAGGGTGCATCTGTTCTTGTATATGGTGGTGGTGTGTTCACTGTGTGAACAGTTCTCTGTGTGAGAATTAACATCTTACTGTAAATAAAATACCCCAAACAGCATGTAAGACAGTGTGAATGAAAGTTTCTGTCTCTGCTGAGCCCCAGTAAAAAACCCTATGGTGCTGGGAGTTCCTGATGTATGTTTTGATAGCAAAAGGAACAAGTTCCTTTAGGAAGGTTGAAAGCAATCACCCGCAACCATGTATAATAATTTTGTAGTAAATAGTTTCTGTGTGTTCAGTAGTAGCAGTGAGAGTAACTTCTCTAATTTCCTGTTCATTTCCAGGAACTCGAACCACAAGTTGGGGAACAGTTGCTGCAGCTTTGGGACCGTATTCCTTTGGCAGGAAAAAAACTGACTTGATCATGTCAAGAAATGTGATGGAGGTGGTTATTTCACGTGTTGCTTGCTGGTTTTGTGGTAGAGGAAAAGCTGTCAACGCACAGTGTTTCTTTACAGTACTGTACCTTTGTAGCTTATAGAAAAACAGGTGCACTTAGTACTAAATATTCTGTTCTTTTGATTTTTTTTCAGCTGGTTTAGGTTGTTGAAACATCAGCCCTAACCATTAGAACCAGCAGTGTGTCTGCAGTGCAAATGTGAGGAAGAAAGTGGCACAACAAGCTCCTGAAGCTAGAAGTGGAAAAATAAGAGAGAATTGGTTGGTTTCAATGTTTCCTTGTCTTAAAAATGTAACGCTATTCACCAGCCTGTTTTTGACTAAAATTTTTTTTTTACAGTAGGATGCAGGTGATAGTTAAAAACATGTTTAAGTTCAAAACAAAGTTTGAAACAATGAACCCCATAAAGGTTGTTTATGGGTTTAAAATAGCACAGGAGACAGTTTAAATATGCAGGTTACAGTAAAGTTTTCTCAACCCAGTAAAGTGTAATGTTAATCAATTTTGCAGTTTGTTTAAAACAGCCATACTGTGAGGATATTTCCAAATACATCGCAAAGTTCTGTAAGTGTTTGTTGAACTTCTGTATGCACAGTGAGGGAGAGCAGGATATATTCATACAAATAACTAGGCAGCAGGAAAATGTTAGGTTTTAATTTATTTTTATATAATTATTTTTTACAATTAATATAAATTATTTTAATTTAATTAATTTAAATAGAGAAGAGAAAGGAGCACAAGACTTTTGAGATTGGATAGGTCCAGTGATGTTTCCAGTTTCAATTATTTTTCACCTTAAAGAGGTGACTCATACTTTCGCCAGCTGAAACATTTCAGATGCCTGCAGCCAAGTGGTACTCTTAATTGTTCACTAACTTAGCACTGTTAGAAGTATTTCTTTAAAAAAACAATAAAAGATAATTTCTAGTACAACTTTCTTCATCGTTTGTTGTAGTCTTCATGCTTGCTTTCAAGTTGTTTCTTTTTCTTCCATACCACTGTTGTCTTGGTTTATTTTGCTTCTCCTTACTTGTTAATATACTGTACTGCAAAGCTGGTACAGATTTGGTCGCCAGTTCTTGGCAGTGGTCATACTGCATTTGGTACTGCTGGGATGTGAGCAAAGGTTGTAGCCCGAACCTCTTCAATAATGCACTACTTTGCTTTATCCGTAGGGAATGTCTGATGAAACCTGGCAGCAATCAAATAAGATCAAGGAATAGGGAACAAAACACAATTGCCAAAATTGCTCCTGTATGAGAATGTTGTGGACACTGGGCAGAAACTAAGTGTGAGATTGTGTGACACATGAAAAAGAGATTTAATATCTTCTGCTCTTGGAACACATTTTGAAAAATCTTGAAAACAAGCTATGCAGAAAAGGGTACAAACTCTTTGGACCAGTAAGCTTGCTTTGACTTTCATAGTGTATCCTGTCAAAATAAGGGCACAAACCTTCCCTTTTTGATTGTTTTCATAGCTCCTTTCAGACTAAGGAACTCTTTTTTCCTATTCATGGTTTCTGTATTAGTTTAAGTGCAGTTAGTAATGAAGGAATCTGTCATGTGACTGAGCAAGGGCAGCATTTCAGTGGCTTGGCCACTGCTGAGTTCTGACATGCCCTAGAATCATACAAAATGAGATGTCATTGCTGTAAGAGAAATATGGTGCTCTGTCCACAGCTTTTATATGAAAGAGGGATGTACCTTTTATTCTAGGGAAGATTGGATCAGAAGTACCAGTCTAGGAAACACAGAGAAGAAGGACCATATGACACCTTACAACAGGCTGTGAAGTTCCCAAGAGGCCCTTTGTTTTGTCCTAGCTTATTTTTCTGGCTGCCTACATAGGTTGGCTGGAACTGGTCATGTGTCTGCAGCATAGATTTCATGTGTGAATTTCACTGAGCTTTCTGTCTTCAGGGGCACTGGGCAAATTAGTTGCAAAGGACCATGGCCCAGATTGCTCATCAGAGGGCTGCAGTAGCCACATTCATATTGCTTTTTTAGTCTGAGGCTTAGATAAGGCTACATGGTTCTACTCTCCCTCCTCTTTAGAAGAGTGAAGTTAGATGGGGTCAGGAAATGATTAAAAACCACACCACGATGCCTTTACCCAGGTGTTTAGAGTCTGCTGTGTTGCTTCCCTTTCCAGTACTCGAGTTCGAAAACTGCAGAAAGCATGCTTTTGTCAGACTTGAAACTTGGTGGAAATGTGCCAGTTCTCATTTCAAAGTCAGTGCAATTTTAGTTGAAGTCAGAGATCACAGGTCGCCTGTTTTAAAACACCCTTAGAAATGGAAATATGGCTGGAAAAGGGAGCTTTTAACTTCTCAGGCCCAGTAACAGTAAGTGGTGGAACTCATATCTCCTGAGGTTTGTTTTAATCAATGTTACTCCACGCAATAATGAATGAAAACAACAGGTGATGTCCAGTAAATGTCACCCAAGAGTTACAGGAAGTATCCATGGGCTAAAAGGTCACACCAGTCTATGTAAGGTAGAGTAATGGAAGGGCAAAGTAAGTTCTGTTACATGCTTGTGAACACCAATACTATTTTTAAGGTGAGAAATATCTTGAACTCTGAATCTGTCAAAAGTGTTTTAATTATTTATAGTATCATATAAATATCACAGCAGGTGAGTAGGACTGATACAGAGAGAAGCATTCACCTTGAAGGAATATAAGCACTGATGTCAGGAAAAATAGGGCTCTGAAAATCCTTCAGAGTGAAGCTAGGTGGTGCAGTTGGCTAGCACATGAGCTCTTGTCCACTGAAGACTGATCTAAACCAAACGCTAGTTGTATTAGCAGTTGCAAATGAAGTGGCCTATCCCTATGAAAAGTAGGGAATTATGGTAAGCAATTCCTATAGTAGCCTGCTGCTCTATATCCAACATACCTTTTGTTTTAGTTGCCATGGAAAACAGACAGTATCAGACCAGGCAACCAGGATATGCTAGCTATTAAAGGCTTTAAATAATATTTTTTTTATGTAGGCATTAGTCTTATGGAACACTCTTTACCTGCAAGAAATGATGGATATGAAAATGGGTTTTCTAAGTAAAAAGGTGAGCTCAGGACAGGGCTTAGGATCCAGCTTCCAGCCCTGGGGTGGCTTATGTCCATGATCTTTTATAATTTGCTAAAGTGTTTAACTTGCTTCTCACTTTCCAGCCTCTAAGTGAGGTGTTTTTCTGCATTGCTTGTCAGGAACTTTCTAGAGAATGCTTGTGAAGTGTCTCTTACTGAAATACTGCGTTTAAAATAGTTTAAAGTTTGCTTCTTAGCTCTTAGTCTTTCAGCACATGGACAACGAAACTCCTTGCTCGGTTGAAGTGCAGACATCAGCAGGCTTCTCTGGTAAGGACCTCTTCTCCTTGCTGTTCCTGTTTCCCTAGATGGTAGGTACAGTATTTTTCTAGACCAACTTAGTTCTGCACTGTTTCAGCTGTAAATGTAAGAACCATTTCTTAAGAGCACAGGAGCTGGTAATTCCAGTGTGCCAGATGTCAAATGGAAGGCTGGCTGGACTTCCGTAGCTTGGATGGAAAAAGAATGTACATTGATGTTGGAAGCAAGGCCAGGCAACATAGGAAGACTGCAGAGACTGTGTTTTCCACTGTAGGGAGAAAATTCGTGTGGCCAAAACTCAATTGGAGCTGAAGCTGGGCAGTACTTGCAGAGGACAATAAAACGAGCTTTTTTAAATACACCCATAACAAAAAGCAGCAGAAGGAGGATCAGAGATAACCTTTTTCCGTTGCTTGATGAGGTTGGTCACCTCACAAGTAGTCGTAGACAAAGCACAGATATTAAGAGTTGGATACAGTGTAAAGAGCTGTCTCTGAAGAAAAGCCACAAGCAGGTCAACGCCTGTGGGTAGGAATCAGAGACTGAGACAACAAAGGGAACCTTGTGGTCGGTGTCTATTCCAGGCTACCTGACCAAGGGGAACCTTTGACAACACCTTGCTGCTGCAGCTGCAGGAGGCATCAAACTCACAGGCTTGTTGAGGGTCTTCAACCACCCCGGTATCTGCTGGGAAAGTAGTACAGCAAATTGTAGGAAATCCAGGAGACTCCTGAAATGCATGGGGGATAACTTCTCAGGCCAGGTAATAACCCAGCCAGAGGAGATGCAATACTGGATCTGTTGGTCACCAACTCAGTGAGCTAGTCAGGGATGCCAAGGCTAGAGGCAGCCTGGGCTGCAGTGATCCCACACTGGATCACTTCACGGTCCTGAGGGATACGGGTCAAGCAAAGAGTAAAGTCATGACCCTGAACTTTAGGAAAACAAAATTTCAGCTCTTCAAGGATTTACTCTGAGGCTCTGTCCTTCCCCAGGACCCACTGGGAAACTACCCTCAAGGACAAGGGAACGGAACAGCAGGCAGATTTTTAAGGGCTGTATTCCGAAGGCAGTGCAATGTGGAGCTGATAAAGGAAGGAGACCCTTTCCCAGTCCAATGCAACACAAAAGAACTAGTAAATATGACTTTCACTCTTGACACCTTTTAGAAATGACAATTCACAAGTAAATGTTGAGGTTATTCACAACGTGAGAAGGAAGGGAAAATTCCAAATGAGTTGAGGTTTCATGGAGTTTTTATTCTGAGTCCTGCTCAGAGCTGCCACTGAAGAAAATGGTCCTGGACTGGTCACTGAAGGCTTGTCTCTTCCTTCCACTTCTTCACTGCAGTGATAAGGGGCACCAGGCTGGAGGCAGGCTTGGCTGATTCTACAAATGGATGCTGCCGAAAGGAAAAAAAAAAAAAAAAGATAAAAAAAGCAGTAAACCATGACTTTCAAAACTCACAGACTCCAGCAGGACTCCTCTGGTTCCCAGAAATACAACTGAGGGACCCATTTGCACCTCCATCTTCATGGTGAGGTAGGACCTGCCATCACAGACCCCCGCATCAATTTATCCAGCTGTCTTCAGCTTGCTGGGATTTTTGCCCTGCTGGCACTCTTTCTGTCCCAAGGGTTTGTTCCTTTCAGGAAACCCCAAGGGCTCATATCGGTTCCTCTTTTTTAAAGACATAAGCTGTGCTAATTTTCACAGAGAGAGCAGTATCTCTCTTTCCATCTCCTGCCCCTCCTGTGCTGCCTGGCACCTTCCTTCCCAGCAGGGACAGCCCATTGTCATGTCCTGCAGCTCCCAATCTGCCGCAAGACCTGGCAGTAACCCTGCAGCGGTTCTCATCTGCTTGACCATGCCAGGCAGTAACTGGAGCTGGGACAAGCCCTGCTCAGCTGTCTCTGTTTGGGTGGCCAAAACCTCAAAGTGTGTGCCAGGAGGGACAAGCCAGGGTCCTTCTGAGGCTCAGAGTGAGCCCCCCATACCCTGTTCCTTCCCATGGCCAAATCAACAACCCCCACTTGACTGTGACTGGTTCCTCCTCCACCATTTCAAGCCTCTGGACCCAGCACCATTCTACTTCAGCCCTTTTGCCACCAGGTAAAACTCAATGTACTCCCAAAGAGTACAAAAACAGGGCCACAGAAGTGATCAGAGGGTAGAAAATCTCTCCTCTGAGGAAAGGCTGAGAGAATTGGTCTGGTTCAGCCTGGAGAATAGAAGGCCCTGGGGAGACTCTATTGCCACCTTTCAATAGTTCAAGCTGGGGACCCATTTTTTAGCAGGGCAGTTGCAATAGGACATGGGGTAATATTTTTAAATTAAAAGAGAGTCAATTCAGATTAGGTCTAAATAAGAAATGGTTTACTGCAAGTGTGGCGAAACACCAGCACAGGTTGCCCAGAGAGCTGGGAGGTGCCCCATCCCTGGAAATGTTGAAGGTCAGGTCAGACAGGGCTCTGAGCAACCTGATCCACTTGAGGATGTCTGTGCTCACTGCAGGGCACTTGGACTATATGGCCTTTACAGGTCCCTTCCAACCTAAACCAGTCTAGGATTCTTCACAGTTCTCATTTGAAAAGCACTAAGTTGGGAGATCAATATGAGAGGGGCCCATCTGATGCCTTGGAGTTTAGTGGATAAGGGACCCATCCCTGGGGCAGCTGTTCCACCTGCAGTTGCTCTGCACTGTACCTGCAGGAGTTCCTCGGCAGACCAGCGCCTGTCCTGGTCTGTCTCCAAGCAGCAGGTCAGAAAGTCGCGCAGCCAAATGGAGACTTGCTTGGGCTGCTTCAGCTTGGGTGCCCCTCCGGTGGCTATCAGGTACTGAGCCTAGAGGAAAAGGAAACACCAGATTCTGCCTGTTTCTTTCATATCTCCAACTGCTCTCCCAGACCCCATTGTTTATGCTCCAGTCTCCAGTGGCAGTTTCTTCCCTTGCAGAGACTTAGAGATGAATTTCCTATACTAACAAAAAAGTCAAACTGCGATGTAGCCACAGCTTTTCCAACATCCAAAAGGTCTTGCCTCGACGGCTGATCTCATTGGCTGACCTGGTTAGTAGGAACTACATCAGCAAAAGCACATTTTGCTTCTCTGAGGATGGACGCAAGCTATTGGAAAGAGGGACTTTGGTTGAACTAAACCATTTCCAGGGATTAAACTTAAAACACACCTCTGTCCCGCTCCCTGGTCCCTTAAGCTACTATAAAACAAAACCTATCATTTTTTGGTTCTCTTCTTGAGAAAAAAAAAACTGGAGGAAAAACAAGGAAATCAATCAGTTATTCCTTGGGTAAAGAAACAGATGTTTGGAACCTGATGTTCAACATCTGCCAGCACAGAGGTATTGTGATGAAATGGCCTATTTGGGCAGACAGGAGCCACGTACAACTGTGTCTCTCAGCAGTCTCCAAACTCCCGATGAGCTTCACTTATGCAGTAATAGAAAACCTTTCCACGGTCTAATCAGAAAAAGGAGTCATTCCATTCCTATGGTAACCCCCTACTCATTTGGATACTTATGATTAATGATGTGCCCATCCCAGAAACTAACGGGCAACGAACAGGAGGTTTTGGCAGGCTTGGACCATGAAAGAAATATGGTCACGAAGTGTTCCAGCAAAACTGGACAAGAAGCAAAACAGATTGTATGGCCTTTACATCATCATCTTCCACTTTTAGGCAAGCTTCCCAGTGAGAAGAAAGGGAATGCAGCTCATCTCTCAAAACCACTGTTTCAGAAACCTTGTTGGGTTGGGGTTTCTCTTCGTCTTTTCTGGAAAGATAACACTAGTTGACACATATGCTTGTGTCATGTTTTAAGGGTCATCATCTCAGACAGAAGAGCTGGAACAACTTAAGACCCAAAGCAAAGTGTTGCCTGAGAATGGGGAGTCTTTGCCTGTGGTAAGGCTTGATATCAGTGTTTACAGAAGCTGCAAAGGGGCAATAAGCTCATCAATTTGTTTAACATACCAAGAAACAGCCAAGGCATACAACTGTAGCTGCAGTCTGTGAAAACGAAATCCTAAACTTATCCAGGCCAACCAGACACATGACACAACAATACAGACATGGTTTAGAAGCTGGAAATTTTCAACCATCCACATGAGTTGGAAAAGATGCTCCAGTTTTGAGGAAAATTGATGTGCTGTGGTTAATAAAGGACAAAGCAAGCAGAAATGCTTGGTTGTTTGCTTTCCTGGTTGTTTCTTTTTCTTTTAAAACTGAAATTGGGGAGGTTCAATGGACATTTCAAAGGATAATGACCACACTCCTAAACTCTTTCCTGAAAACTTCTTGTCATTAAGAAACAGAGCTCAAAGTGAGTTCAATAACTCATGAGAAATGTCAAGCATCACTGAAGGCCAAAATGGCTATACGCCACTTTTCTTCTGAGGTTTCCCCCACTGATGTAACCCAAACTACAGCAGATGCTGATGTGCTCCAGGGACATTTTTAGAAGTGAGTCTTGGTGGAACGAGTTCAAGCTGATGGGAACGAGACTTTGTCTTATGGCAGACAGCACATATCAGAAAGACACTGGTATCAGTGAGTATTTGCACCTTACCAGAACAGACGTTTCATTCTGGTAAGGAACTTCTCCTTCCACCATTTCCAGTCCCACGATGCCAAATGACCATATATCCACTTTGGGACCATATGGTTTGCTTATCACAACTTCTGGTGCCATCCACCAAGAAGTCCCAATCACTGAGTTCCGGTAACTCTGCTCAAGGCTGAGCTGAGCAGAGAGGCCAAAATCAGCTGAGGAGAAAAACAAATACTGTGAAAGTCAGCTCAAATAAGGAAAACAAACAAAAGACTTACCCACTCTAAGTGTGAGAATGCCCTGTTGAATCTATCTGGAAAACCAACTGTGTTGTGTTTCCTCAGGGTTGTAGCCAAGGAAATATGGAATTGGCCACTTAAAAAAAACTGCCACATTTTTTAAACTGCTCCCAGCAGTCTTTTTTATTCACCAGAAGGTTTAGATTGTAACTCCCTCTCTCTGGAAGGGGCACATACAAGCCAACATCACTCTTGGCACCTTGCAAGGTGCATCTGTGCTCTCAGGCTGCAGCAGGGGTCCATGCACTCCCACAAGCACCACTTTTGGGCAACTGGCGCTCACTCAAAAGCAGCCCCACGCCCCACATCCCCAGAACACTTCAGCTGATCAAGGATACCCACCCAACTTGACAGATCCGTCCGTTCCGATGAGAATGTTGGAACTTTTTATGTCTCTGTGGATCACCCCATTTGAGTGAAGGAAATATAGTCCTTGCAGGCACTGAGAGAGAAAAAAGAAACAGGAGAGTAAAAATCGGTGATCTGGTTTCATCACACAAGAAAGGAAACCACTTCAAAAGATTTCCTTTCCAGTTGAAGGGTGAGTAATGGCAGAACACGATTCTGTCAAGAGGAAGAGTTGGCTGATCCAACACCAGTAGAGCAGGAGCTTTCTAAGTAAAGGCATATCAGCTTTTGAAAGAGAAATGGCCATTGTTATTCAAGGCAAACCCAGACAGAATGACTGCTGCTGCAGTGGATGTGCTCTCCCATCCAGATAAACAAGGGTTTGAGCCCCTCCCTCTGCTATGAAGTGGATTGCTTTTGGGTGGGAGGCTGCACGACAAAGATTTTATTGCTGGCCTCCAAGCAGACTTGGAAATAGCCCATTAGTCAGTTTTCAGAAGCAAACACCACTTTGGGTGCAATGCTATATTTTTAAGCTGAGGACTGTGAGAAATTCGTCTCTATTTCTCTTTGCCCTTAGTTTAAAACTCTGCCACCAGCATATTTGCTTTTACAGGCAAGAAATGCAGTGCAGATAGGCTTTGTGCAAATGTTGCAGAGGCAAAGTGGAGAGTAGTAAATAAGAATAAAAAAGAGATAGAACACAACAACAATAGGTAAGAGTATAAGAACAGAGTACCGTGAGGGCAGGGCACTGGCAGGCAGTTCACTTCAATTGCTCTTTCTTCTCCACATCAGAACAGCAACACAGAAACAAAGCTCCGAAAATGAAAATCACTCCTGTTCTTACCACCTGTTTAGCAGGACAGTTCTGTCCAAGCCGTCAGAAGCCCAATGAGGATCCCTTACCTCCCGACTGACAGCTGCCATCTGTCCTTCAGACATGCATGTCTCACTGATAACATCATATAAAGTGCCTCCATCCACATACTCCATGACCAGCCAGAGTTCCTCCTCCACAATGTAGCTGAAAGAACACAACAAGGCCATGGAAATGACTGTGCGAAGCTAAACTGCTTTATGGAAAAGGCAACCGTTGGTTTTTGTTTCCAGGCCCCTTTTAAATGAAGACAGAATAAAACGAATAGACATTCTCTCTAGGCTATACAGTGCTTGCGAGCTGTGCAGTCTAAATGAGAAAAGCACATCTGTGAAAAAAGAGATGTCTTAGATGGTCAGCAAGGGAAAAAGGCAGTTTAGTAGCAAATCAGATAAAAGAACTGCCACACTATGTGTTTCTGGAGACAAGAACCTCATCTTCCTAGCACCCACAGCAAGGGAAAGAGTGGGAAAAGCCCCAGGGAAATAATTTCTATGACAGTTTATCAGCACTTAGGACCCTCGGAAAAAATCAACACCCAAAACTGCAAAAGTGTTGGAGAGAGTGAGTTTACAGGCTATTGATTTAGTAAGAAAGGGCTGGTCCAGGTTTTTGAACTGTGTGTGCCAAGAATGATTAATGCAGATAAAATGCAATCCCCTGCCATCATCTGTTGGAGATGAGTAGATAAATAATAATTAATTAATAATTAACAGCTCAATTTTCTGCCAGTGACCAAAGTGGTTTTTTTCACCTTGCGTGCTCTTAGTATGTCAACAAACATTCAGAACCACTCACCTGTCTAAATAGTTGACAATGTTGGAATTCCTATTTGTCCTCATGACCTCAACTTCATTAAGAGTTAGTTCCTTGCTGGTTTCTTGAAGACTGATTTTCTTTATGGCCACCTAAAATGACATTGAAAATCATTAACTTGAGAAGTCAGTGGCACCAACATGCAGCGAGTGATTTTAGAATGCCACAGCCCAGCTCTGTCAAACTGCCTTGTGATTAGACATCAGGGTAATTGGGAACTGGCATTACAACAACTATTTCTCCACCTGCTTGGGTGCCAGTTAAGGATATGTGGCCATGGATGTTCTGCCTTGTCAACTTGGTAAAAATGGTCTCTCAGCTATCAGCCACAAAGCTCCAACCACACTCTCTGCAACACACATTCTTCTCAAATGGACTTAGTTTGTCACCACTATTCTCATTCACACATGTTTTGCGAGCAGGAAGTGAATTTGTTCCTGTGAAAATACACCAAGGTAGCTGGAAATCCTGTGGCAGTCCTGTGCAGTTTGATCATTATTTCAGCAGTTACTGCTATTCTGGATTGCACAACAGAGTAAACACATACACTGTGGATAAAATGCCGTCCGAAACAGGCCATTAGTATTACCCCAAGAAATACAATTCCAGCACTGCCAAACTTCATGAATGTTGATTTTGCTACTCTAAAGAAAATTCCTTAACACAGTTTACATTTGCAGTTGTTGTCTGGGTTTAAAAAGAAGCATGGTACGTGCATTGGTACTCCATGGATAAGCACCGGGCTATAGGCAGGGCTTAGGGCTTTTAAGGCCCCTTGCAGACCTCTCTCTTAGCGCAGTTCCCAAGTGCAGCACTGCAGGTGGATAAGCAACTACCAGTAATATTCAGATGTATTTGCTGACAGCCAGAAACAAGAATTCAGGAATCTGAAGCTGTAGTCCCAAAGAGCAGTGAGATTGTCTAAGACAACACCTTGTCTGATTCTTATTACGAGGATCCCTGTAATGGGGTGTCACTGACAATTGACCTAAACAGGGTGATACTGCTTAGGAGAGGCTGTTGCTCCCAATAAACCTCTTCTTGGTCATCTATGTGTGTGTTTCTGTGTGTATCAACCAACTTCTCTAGGACTGAAACATAAAATTGTGTCCCAAGCATGAGCTCTCCTTCATCAGGTCTTGCATTGTGCTTTAGAGATGAAAGACATGGTGAAAGAAAAAAAAAGCTAAATCCTATCTGTGTCTGAACCTGTGATTCAGAGAAATTGGGCCTGGATGACAGCAGTTGCCATCACCTCGTCGGTGCATATTCAGCCATCAAGACCAAGCTGGGGCGTCCTTCTGTGAAAGATACCATTCTTTCTGGTAGCTGAGAAGGGCAAGGTCTGTCCCAAATGCTTTTTGCAGGCTGTCACTAATCTGCACTTCTCTTGCCTTTGCAGCAAAGACCTACCGGTGACCCAAAGCTCCAGCCACCAGAGGGGAAAGCATTCGAGAGCTGCAGAATCTGTGGGGCTTGTTGACACTTACCTGTCCTCCGGTGGCAGTGTCAAGTGCTTTACAAACAGCTCCAAAAGCCCTAGAAGAAAGGAGCAGCAGTTTAGGCCTTGCAGTGAAAGCCAGCCCAGAGAAGAAAGCTCTACTGTAAATGCCTAAAAGCTGCAGGATATACGAGTGGTCTGTAATCAGGTAGATGGTGCATTTTCCTGTCAAGTGCATCGACACTGGGTCTATTCATGAAGCTTTGGGTTTTACTGCCTTGGTTAAATAAGAGAGCTTCTTCTGCTTTCAGTTTCTATTGTGATTATAATCCTGAGCACCAAATATTTCCTTCAGCAAAATACTGGAAAGAAATGTTACTGAGAACTGCTATCAGGTGGCAAGTTGCTCTTTTAGACCATAAAGTTTCTTCTCCTTTCATAAGCATTGCCATATTATACAAAAATGATTACTGCTAAGAAAAAAAGCCAACATATGCCACACACTTGAGGGACAGGAGATCTTCCAGATCCTGCTCCTTATTGCAGGCAAGACACTGGCAGCATCATGATGACTTTGACAATGCCTCATGACCACAGGTTTAAATTCTGACCAGTACTGAGAGATGGGACAATCTGAACACACTTGCCGCTTGCCTGACTTCATGCTTGATAGATGTTGCACCAGCAAAATACCTGGCCCATTGTTTTGTAGAAGAAACTGTGGTTGGACTCACCCACTGCCAATATTTTCCAATTCAATGTATTTCTGCAAAGGATCTCCCACGCTCACCATTCTCCCTGAAAGAAACAATATGTAAGATGCTTATTTTAAAATGGAGATCCTGCCTTCCAGGAGGTCCAAAATGCAGCCCCACTGTCTGGAGTTCTGAGCCCTTTGTGGGCAGCTGGATGACAACAACAACAATAACAACAAGACAGGCAGCTCTGCAGCACAGAGGGTCTGCACAAAGACTGATTTTTATATGGTCCTTTGAAGGGTTACCTTGACAGGAAACTAAGCACATTGAGATACATTCAGAGCAGGCAGAGATCAGAAGAGAACAGGTGCCAAGACAAGTAAGTTTGTCATCTATAAACGCTAAGGAGAGCTGGAACAATACAGCCTTTCTTTTCTAGGCAATAAACATTCTGTGAGGAAAGCTCCAGCCCCTGCAGTCACAGCAGTTGTCAAGGGCAGGGCAGGTGTGACAAAAGGTCAGTAAAGCCCAAGAATGAGCTCTGTCAACTGCTGTGAAGAAGCCACAACCAGACTGAGCCCTGTTACGAGCTGTGGCCCCCATTCAAGACAGAACATTATTGACTTTGAGATCAGACCCAAGGAGGTGCAGATCAATCCACTTTTTGTCTCAACAAGTAATGGTAGTAGACACAGAGTAAGCTGGGCTCTGCTCTGAACCCAACCAGCGATTATCTGAGAACACAGCATTGACAGATATTATGTGCAAGAAGCAGATTGAACTGGTTGTACTGCAGAATCAAAAAGGGCTTGCTGTATTTTCCTACAGCCTGATCTGTACAAGAGTTGGGGCCAGTGATGAGGATTCTAATAGTCCTAACTGTCTGGGAATCAGCCATGGCAGAGTGCCATGTATCCGAGGAATACACAGCAGCTGGGCTGTAGGGATTTGCTCCTGGGAAATGCCTGCAGTGCAGTTTTCACACCATTTAGATGTGTGTCTTTGATACATCCTTATAAGTATAAAAGTAATAAATTAAATAGGGATCATAAAAGTATCTTTTTTTTTTCCTTTGGGGGCATCCTTCCTCTTTATTCGTGCTGTCATCTGATGTTCTTTCAAAGGAGTTCTCACTGACAAAAATGTAGCATTCTTATAAAAACAAGCTGTAGAAGTAACAGTGATAGTAATAACAGTCATAAAACCCACATCAATAAGATACCTGGGGTAGGAGAACTCTCTTGGGATGGAGAACAATGAAAACCCAACTCCATGAAAAAATCCAAATCCAAACCAAACTAAAAAAAACCCAGCCAGCAAACCAACCAAAAAAACCCCACAAAACCCAAATTGAATCCATTTCTGTGAATTTAGGAAGCCAAATATTCTGATCAGTATGGGCACTAGTGCACAGGATTCCACTAGGTCATTTGCCTGCTTGTCTGGGAACATTTTTCTGCTTTTGCCTTTAGCAGAGAGGGAAGCTCAGCCAACGGCAAACCAGTCCAACCTGCCCTCCAGAGGCAGCAGGAACACCCACAGTGCTCTCACTGACTCAAAGCACAAGAAGAGTTTCTATAGGGAGTCCTAAATGCCCCTGTGACACTAAACCGAGGAGGAACATTTGGCCCAGCTCATGCTGAGACCCGCACACAACACACTGCTCCATCAGACAAGAGGTACACAGGACATACTCAGTATGTTCAGGGACGCCTTCTCTACCACATCTTGCAGAAAAGCTTCCAGCTGGCTTGAGCTGAGCGAATTGCTCGCTGTCAAGCTTTCAGGCTCGGGAGTGGAGGCTTCTTCAGACCATGCTACTGCAGCAGTGGGTTCAATGACAGAGCCTGTGTAGATCTGGGACAAGAGATAAGTTTGTGTCAGAAAGGTGGCTGGCAGAGATTGCCCTGAGATCACATTTCAAAGGATAGCCCTTAGGAAGATGCTGTGGGCCACATCGAGGACTCTTAAACAGGATTTTTTAGATGTCCACTTCTCAAACTGCATTGGTAAAGACAAAAAGCTGGTTCTACATGAGTTAATGGACAGTTTCATATTCCATTTTTGCGGTTTTTCTAAAAGATGACTGCAACACTGACTGCTCCGCTTCCTCCCAAGAATTCTTTTCCCCCGCCAAGTGTTGCAGACACATTTGCAGTTCCTTGTTCTAATGTTCTACCTCCTCATCTTGAGTCTTCTTTTCTTCCACCGTCTTCTGGAAGTGCTCAACTTCCAACACCTCCTGCCTTGGCCTTGGCCGCTCCCATCCCCTGCTCTGATCTTGATGACCTTTGTTGCCAGTCACTTGCTGGGACAATTTGGGTTCTGCCAGATGAGATGTCAGCTCTTCCACCTCAAGTCAAACAGAACCAAACAGTCAGAGACTACAGTTTCTCACTGTCAGCCGTATCATAGACTGTGAGGAAAGTGAAAGCACACGAGATGACCAGATTCCCAAAGGATACAGACAACTTGTTCCATATGTGGGTCGCCATGTTCACCTGAAAAAAAAACCTCAAAAAACAAGGCTAGCAGGAACAGGCCAGCAGAAATCAATTGGGATTCTTGCTGGGCAACAGGCCAAAGGATGAACCCAGCTGTCCAGGGTGACAGCTGAGAATCAGTGGACCAGTAGGTCTCCTTCGGACCAGCTGTAAGAGAGACCACAGCATGAAGGCAGTCAGAGTGACTACCCCCATCAGCTGCTGCTCTGCAATGGAAAGGCAAGAAAGTAGGAGAACACCTGTTTGGTAACTGGAGTGGCTACCACCGTTTCACTCACCAGTTTTCGTAGAGTCTTCTGCTGCTGCTGTAGGAGACTCACATCCTGTTGGATATTTTTCAGTTCCTCCTCGTGCCTTTCCTCCATGGCCTTGATCTCACTCCAAGCTCTCTGCAGTTGCGCTTGCAGCTTTTCCTTGCTGTTCTGTAAGCAGAGGGGAAGAGAAAGTCTCTTTACGGGAGTTCCTGCCACTGTTTCCCTTACCTCGTTTTGCAGATCCTCTCTCTGCTGAAATAGATTCATTTCATCTCGGATGCTTTTTGTTTCATCCTCATGTCTCTCCTCAGTTGCCTTGGTCTTCCTCGAAGCTTCGGGCAGCTGTGCTTGCAGTTTTGCCTTGATGTTCTGTAAACAAAAATGGAGAGAAAGTTACTGGGACCTGCCATCAGGCTCAGGTTTTTCCTCTTTTGGTCTCAAAATCCCATTTCTTCGGCTACTTCTCTCTGCTTCTCCATGCAGCTCTGCTTCCCTTGTAACCCTCCCTTCCTGATGCTGGTCTGGAGATTACAAGGCTCTATGCTTTCAATGCCCATGGTAGTTCTTACTTCCTCAGGCAGGTCCAAGACCTGTGTTTTATGATCCTCTTATTGCCCTTCACTATTACCTAGCTAGTCAGGTTTACCTGCCCATTCTCTCTCTGCTCTTCCTCCTGCTGCTCTAGCTGCTGCTGGGTTTGAAACAGCTCTCCCTGAGTCTGCATCTCTAACAAAGCAATCTTCCCATGATCTTCTAGCAGGACCTGCACAGAAATGAAGAGAAGCAGGTTTAAACTTCCCATACAACATTTGTATGGCAAGACTCAAAGTCTGATGGGCTCATGCATTCCCAAAGCACTGTGCTGCTGCTTTCCTGGGTCCTTATCTGCCCATGGGGAGGCACAGATTCCTAAGTGAGATGGGCAGTACAAACATGGTCCATCTGGAACTGAATCTCCCACAAACTCTTAGGCAGCTAACAGGAGATGTGTGGCATTTCTCAATTGCCCACCCTCACTGAGTCCCATTAACTTATTAGCTTACACATCCTCAGGATGCAAATGAAGGAAAGCAAGTTATAGAATGCATGTATAAGTGAAGTCACCCAACACTACCTACAGCACAGGATTGTTCAAGTCCTTGGAATGGCCCAAAATTCAGGGTGTAAAAGGAGGCTCTGGGGGTGGAAAAGGCTAGAGGAGGAAAACACCTCTGGGGGAGAAAAACTGCCATCTCTGGAGGGGAAAACATCTCTATTTGCTCCGAATCAGTCGATGAACTGTCTTTCTCCACCTCTCCTGAAGGGAAGACTGAATAGAATGAGGGAGCATTTCCCTCTTCAGATCCGTTCAGCTAAGTTCACCTCAGTATTTCAAGCCTTAGGGAGTGGCCATTTGGAGTTATGTTGCAGCCCTTCAGAGACAGACTTTCTCTCTACACTGCAGAGCCATGTAGGATTCTGCTCACCAAACCTGGGTCATGGCAAAGTTAAGCATGTAGTCTAATTGTGCCTGTAGCTACTTCGCCTGTGGAGAGGGGCAGGTCCCTCCACAGCACGGTGACAGCTATGTGTCACAAACAGCAAGTGCTGTCTGGTCAGAAACATGTAACATTGCCTTGCACCAAAGACAGTGCCAGCCAAAGCTGTTGCTTACTGATTCAGGTTGTCCAGGCTGTGGTGCAAGAACAGCTGTAGGGTTGTTGCCATCTTCCTCCTCTTTGGCCTCTTCTCCAGCGACAGAGGGAGCCAGAACAAGTTCTAATGCTGGTTTTGCGCTCTGCAGACATAAAAGAGTTCGAGGGATCAGGAGTAACTCTTCATTTATAACTTATTTATGTCCAGCTCTATACCCTGGTGTATCTGAGCTGTTCATTTAGCTACTTAGATGGTCTGCACAGAGGGGCAGGTCCCTCCAGAGCACAGTGAGCCCTACACACCCTGCAAGGCTGAGAGCTGTTTCTTCAAAACACCGTCTCCTCTGGGGACAGGGGGCCTTCACACAAGGCACAATGCCTCTCACTTTTACTACACAGGTAGCACTTAAAGACAAAATGGTACCTCTTCTCTGATCCCAAGAGAGATTTATGGCCCCTGTCAGAAACCCAGGAAACTGATGCCTGAACATGAGTGTCCAAAGCCCATTCTCCAACTGTCAGGGGCTGGAGTGAGTGGCTGTGTCACTGCAGACTCCAGCTCTCAGGATCTTCAACCACAAATGGAAAGTGCTGTCTGTCTAGAAACTTGCAACTCTGCCTTGCACCAAAGACAGTGCCAACTAAAGCTGTTGCTTACTGATTCAGGTTGTCCAGACTGTGGTGCAACAACAGCTGTAGGGTTG